GGATTTGATGGATGGCTTCTATCAAATCCTAATGCGGGAACGGGATATACCCTATACCGCAGTTAGCACGCCTAGCGGCATGCTCTGGGAATGGCTAGTAATGCCACAAGGGCTCAGTAATGCCCCTGCCACGTTCAACAGATGTGTATCACGTCTGTTGAGGCCAGTACGAGAATTCGCGCCGAGTTATTTCGATGACGTATTCATCCATAGTCGAGCTATGGATGGAAAGTCGGACGTTGAGGTTCACAGGTACCACGTCCGACAAGTTCTTACAATCATGCGAAAGCATCAATTGTATGCTAACCTCAAGAAGTGTATATTTGCAGCAAGCGAAATACCACTTCTTGGGTGCATCGTTGGTAAGAACGGTGTACGTCCTGATCCCGAAAAGATCAAGGCGATCACCGACTGGCCTGTGCCGGTCGATGTCAAAGGTCTTCGAAAATTCCTTGGGCTAGCGGCGTATTTGCATAAGTATTCACGCAATTACGCCGAGATGACTGTACACCTCTCTCGTTTGTTGAAAAAGAACGAGAGGTGGTTATGGAACGCTGAATGTCAACGCTCCTTTGAGGGTATCAAGCAGAGCTTGATACAATCCCCAGTCCTAGCAATAGCCGATCAGGACAGGCCATTTCATGTGGTCTGTGATGCCAGCGATTTCGCAATCGGCTGTGCATTAATGCAGTACGACCTTGAAGGCGTTGAACGCGTCGTCTGCTATCAGTCGCGTCAGCTGCAACCAGCTGAGCGGAACTATCCAGTGCATGACAAGGAACTCCTTGCCATGAAGTATGCACTCGCGAAGTTCAGAGTCTATCTATTAGGAGATAGACCCTTCGTTGTTTACACTGACCATGCGTCCTTACGCACGGCAGTGAACAGCCCGCACCTTTCACAACGAATGGCGCGGTGGTTGTCATTCTTTGCAGAATACAACTTTACGGTCGAGTACAAACCAGGACGACTTAATGTCGTCGCTGATGCACTCTCACGTCGTCCCGACTTTGAAACAGTCGCGAAACCCAACAGTGAGACAGTCACTGTTGCGGTTATGACGTCCTCAGTCCCATCTACAATGTTGTATGATGATGTGAGGCGGGCATACGCCCAAGATGGTGAGATAGTGAAGTTGTTGTCACATCTCTCCCAACCATCCCGAGAATCGTTGAAACGATTGTCGTCTGCGTATCGATCTGCATCAGATCGATACACTACTCGTAACGGTTTACTGTATTATACAGCCGTTTCTGGTGACACACCACGTGTTGTCATTCCAGATGATACTGATCTGCGTTTGCGGATCATGTTCGAGTATCACGATGCTCCTATAGGAGGACATCGTGGCCGAGAGAAAACATATCTCACGGTAAGTCGAGACTTTTACTGGCCCCGCCAGTATCAGTTTGTGCGAAAGTATGTTCGCGCATGCGAAGTCTGCCAACGAGTGAAGTCAAGTCCTTCACTGCGTGCACCTTTACAGCCTCTACCGGTTCCGGCTGAGTGCTGGGAATCCATCTCAATGGATTTCGTCTTCGGGTTACCCAAAGACGCACGCGGGAATACGGATATTCTCGTATTTGTTGACAGATTCAGCAAAATGGTACACCTTGTGGCTGTACCAGAGACAATCACGGCAAGTGGCTGTGCTTGTGTCTTTATTGACACCATCTTCCGACTTCATGGGTTGCCCCGTGAACTCGTATCAGACAGAGATCCACGATTCACTGCTGATTTCTGGCGTTCCGTGTTCAAATCACTCGGAACGCGCTTGAAGATGTCGACATCTGATCATCCAGAGTCAGATGGTCAGACGGAACGTGCCAATCGTGTCCTTGAAGAGATACTTCGAGGATACGTACACTCCTTTAAGAGTTGGAGTGAGTTTTTGCCGATGGTAGAGTTTGCCATCAACAACTCGGTGCATGCGTCCACGACACATACACCGTTTTACGTGAATGGCTTGCGCCATCCGCGTGTACCCACCTTACTAGAGTGTAACTCTGGTTTAAGGGGGGAGGGACTCGCGCGAGCAAAAACCGATTTGGTTCACGCTCATCACGCTCTGACGAAGAAGTCATTGCGTTTGATGCCGATATCGATAACATCGATATCGAAGAAGATGATGCCAGTGAGAGTGCGGAAGCCCTCACTGAAGAAGATGATCCCAGTGAGAGTGCGGAAGCCCTCACTGAAGAAAAGGTTGTTGTTGCTGCAGTGCGCTCACAGCACACTGAAGCTAACGAGTCATCAGATGAGTTCATACTGGCTCGTGAAACGGTAGTCCGTTTTGTGCAAGACTCCATCGCCGAAGCGGTGGATAAGCAAAAGCAAAACGCTGACAAGAATGGAAGGGCAAACACTCTTTTATTTAATAAAGGTGACTTAGTCCTACTGTCTACGGTTAATCTACCAAAACATGTAGTGACTAACTTGGGTAGCAGTAAACTACTACCCAAGTACATTGGCCCATTTCGTGTATTGCACCGCCTAGGCAATGCATACACGATCGAGTTACCACGTAAGATGCGAACGCATCCCACGTTTTACGTTGGTCGGCTTAAGCCGTACCATCAGTACGCTGCTTCTTCCGATGAAGAACGCCCTTGCGCTCAAGCATCTCGCAGAGAGCCTTGTGCTCCCGATGGTGGGCATCAACAAGGGTCTGAAGAGCAGTTATCTCAGCCCGAGACCGATCAACAATCCCACGAGCTACCCTTAGCTCGTCACGAAGAGATGTCAGAGATCTCTCGTTCTCAAGCTGAGCAAAGGCAAACTCAGCTCGATGCTTCGAGGCAGTGTCCACCATCTGGAGACGCCTATTCCGCTCATGCTCGAGATCGTCGCGTAACCCTTGCGTTACGCGATCAAAGAAGCTCTCGGGAACACACCGATCCACATGATCGTGTGGAGAGCGTCTTTCCTCCTCCTCCACCTCCATTAGAGGACTCTCGCGGTGGCCAGCGCTATCTAGTAGAGCAGCTGTTGAACCACCGCGACGTGAACGGACGTCGGACGAGTTACCTCGTCCGGTGGCGCGGCTATCCCCCGTCCTGGGATTCTTGGGAGCCCCGCTCCCAATTGATGGTTGACGTACTGGGTCTGGTCGAGCAGTACGACGCGACACATCCTGTGCCGCAGAAGGACCGCCGGAGAAAGTCTTCCCGGCACGGTCGTAAAGGGATTTCAGGTTGTCAATCCCTTCGTACATCTCAGTAGAGACACGTACACGCCACCACGGGCTGGTAAGGAGGTAAGCCTCCTTAGGTGCTCGTGCAGAGTTGTTCACACAACATGGGCACGAGTCTCCCCAAGAGAGGCAGGGTAATCCTTTCTCCCTTGACAGACGATGCAGCTTATAGCGTGCACCTGTCGGGGTTCGCTTTTCAAACTTATCACGAGCTTTGATAAGTTTGTCGTTCCAAGCGTCACGACCTACATCCTCGAGATTATGGATGTAGGCGTTCCACGCCTGAAGTAGTGAGGGACCATCACGTTTGTGATTCCCACTGTACCATCGATGTCTGAAGAAAGCATCGATGAAGAACTCATGTTCAGCGCGATAGTCTTTCGCGCTGGGGTCAAGGTGATGGATCCTTGACGAATCGAACAATCGTGTTCGATAACGATCACTCGTCGTCGCCGACAAGTGATCCATGACGGATTTAGGAGGCATCCATGCCTTCTTTTCTGGAGCGAGACGCAACACATTGCGGTCCCGCTCTTCCTGCGACGTGCCGACAGAAGTACTGGCACCTCGCTGTGAAGTGGTGTCCATAGGAGAACCGACACCACTATTAGCGCCCGAGTCTCGCGACCTCGAGCGCCTTCGCTTCGGCGATGGTTCATCTGACTCATCAGATGAACCAAAGATGCTGCGACGCAAAGCATCGTCCATGCCACGCTTGGCAGGCGGCTTGGATTCAATTGCCGTCGATACGGATCCGTCATCCGTATCAGGAGAGTACGAGACACCGAGCTCGTACTCTGTGAAGACACGAGTGTCTTCATGACCAGCGCCTGCATCACCAGGTGATACAGGCTGAGTCGATTCAGCAACCGATGGGACATCAGTTGCTGTAGTTTCTGCTTCGGCGTCCGCACAGAGACGTGCAGACGCGCTCTCGGCGGCCTTGCTCGCGCATCGCATGGGCTTGTTTACCATGCGATGAGATGTTGGAAAGTGGACGCGGACCAACAAGTGCAAACCCCGTCCCAAATGATTTGGGACGAGTATCCATTTAGTCAATCAGTCACTAAAGTGACTGATGGTTAAGGGGGGTGATGTAACGGGGTGAATCGTTACATAACAATTTATAAGAAATTGTTAATAGAATATAACTATAAGAGTTATATTCTCAGAATATTGTCATAAGGACAATATTCGGTAGCACTTCCAAGTAGTTCCTAATTGGTTGATATAGGCCATTATATCAACCAACGAAGACGCGCCACGACAGACGCACGCAATGAGTGGTGAGCAGATAACTGATTTACACATTTGTATTTAGACATAGTTAGATGAAGATAAATAGTGATTTATTGCAGACATTAACTATTATAAATACAGTTCTACTTTTTACTCTAACCGAGTACTCGCTTCTTCTTACCGTCTTCCTCTGCACGTACGAGTGTACGTGAAGTTACGAGGCACCGCCTTATTCTGTTATCAGAATAAGTAGCTTGTACTGTCACCAGTACAAGCTTCAGGGTGCCCCGTTACAGGCTGGGTGTAGAATCTCCATTCGTCGATGAGAGCGGACGATTTGAAAGTCCTCACGTATCCTACGGCGCCGATCTTTCCGCCGAGCAGCGCGAAACATGTCAAAATCGGATCGAAGGGTGTGCATCCGGTCCTGAGAAGGAAGAACCGGGTAAAACTCAAGCAAGGAGGGCTGCTCACCCCTTTCCTGACGCAATTCAGCTGGGCCTCGTTTATTTTACGCGGCACAAGAGAAGCGTCTGCGGCTACTGCAGACGCTAATCCATGTGTAAAGCTACACGCGGCCGCTCCAAGCGAAAGCTTCAGTACCTTGCTCCAATCGAATGAGGTCGTGATCGCTTGGCACAGCTTCACTATTGCTGGAAAGTGTAAATAGCAGATTGCGCTCGCGGCTCCAGGAGCCCGACACATGAGGGTATACTTCCAATCCTTGACTACAAACGGTAGGATATGGATGAGGTACCAATGAGTGACAGGAATACCAGGCGGGTTGGGGCGGAGTAGTGAAGAGTCGACATAGCGCCCTAAGTCGACCCAACGGTCGTGAGAGCTCGCTAAAGCATACGCTTCGACCGACTGCGCCGTCGAGCACTCATTTAGCCACGTTAGGCAGTCAGCGCGGGCCCTGGCATCGCTGTCGCAGTCATCGGCGATGTGTCGGAGCGTGTCTAGTCGGTGCTGGTACACTTCGTGTTCCCCCCAAGCCAAAACCCAATCAGCGGGGGCCGCTTGAACAGCCATCTCCGGGAAAGGCAAGAATCGTAGTACATGCCTCAGTGCATGCACGTGTCCCAGCATCCAATCTTGATAATCGTTCCAAGTGCCATTTCCAGGATGGTGTGGTGGCACACTAAAATTTGGTCCATAGGTAGACAACCAGGTGGTGAAGGCCGCTTGGTTCGCCGTCAGCCGTTTGGCTTGACGGCGATCAGAAATAGACAGCTGATCCGGGTCAGGGGTTTGCAAAATTCGCTCATATACAGCCGAGTATGGGAGCTGGGCCGGGTGTGCCACGTATCTTTTAACACTCAAGCCACTGTCAGTAGGGTTCACGTTCGTAACATGAGATCCACTGGCATACACGTCGAGGCCTGAATCCTCCAAGATAGCAGCCTCCTCCGCCCGGGCTATTTCGGCCAAAGAATACTCGTCATAGGGAGTAGAGTCTAATTCAGGTAATACGACCTGTTGATGCACTAAATTCAATCGCTCACGCATATTATGCCCCTGCAGCGCGTTCCAGGCATTAAATATGTCGCCATGTTGCACACCATAGAATTTTCTCTGTGTATGGTTCAATACCAGCATGACTGGAATGACCTTGTTATTATAACAAGCCTCGAGGATGAAACGAACTCGCTCAACGTCAAGTACCTGCACGATGCCCGTTTCGTGGTCGTCCTCATTGGGCATCGCGAATGTCTGTAAAGAAAACTGTCGCGCGGAGCAATTGCCGGTCTCGTCCACGCCCCATACATAAATCGGCTCTCTCAAACACATTGCAAGAGCACGAAGAATGGTAGTCTCACTCCTGAAAGCGCTGAGAAGTGCCGTGCTTACACATTGTTCCCTCGAGGCCGCATAATGAGCATATAGTGCAGCGGTCGCCGCCTCCACAAAAACCGGGGGGGTGGAAGTCTGGTACAGGCGTTCCAATTATGTGCGGGGTCGATCAGCATCAGTTTTACATCGTACCGCATGTTGGCCAAGATAAGATCCGTAACCTGCTACTAAATGGCATTGATATCCCGCGTTTGGGACACTGAAGGATAAAACGTAGAAGCTTGGACATTCGTTGTGGAGGCAAAGATAGCAGCGTATAGACTCTGCCCATTAGAGGGGACGTCAACCTGCAATCCATGCAAGCTTCCAATCCATTCCAACACCAGGCTGGGGGACTCGCCGTGATCCAGCACCACGCCCTTATCAGGTCCACCTCGTGACACCGGGATGATTTCTCCAGGAATCGTCGGATTTAGTGTCTCCATCACAATATCGTCCACGTCAATCCCAGGGTCCGTAGTGGCCTGAACAGGGGGCCAGCAAAAATCGTGGGTAGAATGGGGTTCTGACGAGATGCTGCGCTTGTCCGTGGACTGCCTCGTAAATGCAGAATGGTCTACTGCAACCGATCGAAGATTATCTTCGTAGTCTGGAAATGAGACCGGGGTTAAAGAAGCGTCCATGTCCACGTCCTCATCAAAGCCATCCCTCGTAGTTGTCTGTGCCTCACGTTCAGCCATTCGAGGCTGAGGGATGGAAGGTAATCGGTCGTCCTCATAATAATCATCGTCGTCAGAGCTCTCCGCGAGCTCTTCGTAGATGGTACGGTGTAGCGTGAGACCGGTATCAGATGACGCGCCAAGAAGTGGTGTGGTAGCGTTAAACGATGTGGGTGGGATAGGCTGCGATTAGTCGGCAGTGTGTGTCTCCTGTACAATTATGGCACTCTATGCGAGTGAAGCACGTAGAGAAGAGACGTGGGCCGGATTAGGAGAAACAGCTCCCAGATTAATTCCTCTCCGTAGATGATGATCTGATTGGCGTGCGGAGTCAATCTGGGTCCGCTGTGGAGGTATCGACCGACCGCGCTGTGGGAGCACTCGTCCATTCGGTCTCACCGTTCCGCTGGTGTGTGCCGAAACAGGACCACGTCAGTCAGAATCACGATTCGTGCCCTGTCGGCGCTGTGCCCGTCCGACTACGGACCATCCAGTCGCATCCGGTGCAGCATCGCGATGTCCCAAGCGTCCAGTAGTATGAGATGGCCCTGTGTTTATCTGAATTGGTACTGGTATGGTCTTAAGTACCTGAGTCGCTTCGGATACTCCACTCGTAGCAGTCGGGGAAGCGATGGCGCCTAATATCCGGTCCAGATCATCAATGTTTGTACAGGCGTTGAATAATGAGGAAACATTTGACATAGCCTCCCCTACATACTTGCGCTACCGGCTCGCTCGCAGGGATACCATTCGGTCGTCTGAGGCGCGACAGCGCGCACGTAGATGTGCGGGGCTATAACAATGACTACAGGGTGTAACGGGGTGAATCGTTACATAACAATTTATAAGAAATTGTTAATAGAATATAACTATAAGAGTTATATTCTCAGAATATTGTCATAAGGACAATATTCGGTAGCACTTCCAAGTAGTTCCTAATTGGTTGATATAGGCCATTATATCAACCAACGAAGACGCGCCACGACAGACGCACGCAATGAGTGGTGAGCAGATAACTGATTTACACATTTGTATTTAGACATAGTTAGATGAAGATAAATAGTGATTTATTGCAGACATTAACTATTATAAATACAGTTCTACTTTTTACTCTAACCGAGTACTCGCTTCTTCTTACCGTCTTCCTCTGCACGTACGAGTGTACGTGAAGTTACGAGGCACCGCCTTATTCTGTTATCAGAATAAGTAGCTTGTACTGTCACCAGTACAAGCTTCAGGGTGCCCCGTTACACCTGGTAGCACTTCGTAGTCCGTCCAAGGACCGCGTTCACATCCAACATGAATATGTTGGATGATGAAGATGACCAAAGCTTTCACGCTACGCGTGACGGCTACTCCCATTTGAGCGATGTCGAATGGGATGCGGTTGAACGAATGGGTTCGACCATGGGCATCCATGCTGTTAGCGTCATGCTAGAGGCTCTCAATAGAGATGCCCAACATGCTACTATCGCCAAGTTCATTCAAAATGAACTTGACGCAGAACGCGAGAAAGTAGCCTTGCTTCACCAACAAGGTTCTCAACAAGCAGAGTTGTTGAGAGAACAAGGTGCTCAACAGTTTGAACTGTTGAGACAGCAGCAGGCTGCTGCTGGCGGGTCGATGCACTCGCGTCGGCCCGAGACTTTGAAGATTGACATCTCAAAGTATAGGGGGGTCGAAGAAGACTCCCTCTTGAGATGGTTCGTCGAATTGGATGACGCCATAAGGGCGCGTCGCATCGACGACGGGGATATGCAAGTTGCATTTGCCCAGTCAAATCTGGCAGGACGTGCCAAGACTTGGGCACTGGGGCTCAAGCTGCACGACCCATACGCGTTTGGGTCGTTGGAAGTCTTCAAGTCGCGGCTCAGACAAACGTTTGAACCGCCTAGAGCTGAGTTCAGAGCTCGAACCGAACTCTTGAAGCTCAAGCAGGGTAAGCGTGATGTGCACGCTTACGCTCAACATATACGACATCTCACGAGTTGTATAAGTTCCAATCCGGTGGATGAACACACGTTGGTTTCGGTGTTCATGCAGGGTCTTGCGGATGGTCCCGTCAAGACTCACCTGTTCCGGCTTGAACTAGATTCACTAGAACAAGCCATTTCAATTGCGGAGCAGGAAGACTTCAGTCTGAGACAGGCTCGCGCCAGCTCGACATCATATCGTCAACCGAGACGATATGACAACGGAGGTCCAGAGCCGATGGAACTCTGTTATTTAGAGAGCGAGAAGGCTCGCTCTACAGGCTACAAGAAGTTGCAGAGATGCAACAGATGTCAAAAGACAGGACACTACGCTTACGAGTGTAGTGCCCCTCGTCCAGTGTCTCGCGACACTGGGCGTAGTGACCGTCCACCCATGAGAAAGGGGCAGGGACGAGGGTCCGCAGTTGGTGCAAAGACGCAACAACGGGATGGACCGTCAAAAAACGGACAGGATCAGTAGGTGCGGAGCACCCTACTGATCCAGCAACGTCAAGAGAATTTGTAGGCCTCTTGATGAAGGTTGCTCCCAACACACAGACGTTGTGCGTTGCTGCTCTAGGTAATGAGATCTCACTCATTACCTTGAAACTCGAAGTGACGAATAAGTTGTCCCTTCGAGCTCTAGTCGATTGTGGGGCGTCCAACAATTTTGTGCGACGCCAATCGCTAGAAGATGGTCACTTTAAATTCAGTGAATGTGACACACCTCCTACGAGGATGACGGTACGTCTTGCGACAGGCGCATCCGTAACCGTCATGAAGCGTATAGTGAAGATTCACTATACGCTAGAAGATACCCAATACGACGATGACTTTATCGTATTGGATTTGGATGACAAATTTGATGTCATCCTTGGAATACCGTGGCTCAGAAGGTACGAACCACGGGTAAACTGGCAACATCGGACAGTAACGATGCCTGCCGCTTGTTCATCAGATGGCCATCTGATGAACGTTTTGGAGCGTCCACAAGCGTGTGGATGTACTACGAGTGAGTGCGATGGCCTCACTTGTGGTACGGTCGTTAGTACGACTGCACAAAACCTTAGTGTACCAAACGGTTACACTTCGGAGCCAAGTTCCGGCGGCTGTGAGGAAACACAGGCTGCGCCGAAGGTCCACCACTCGAATAAGTCGGGTGGACTGGGACAAAGATGTATCCCTAGAGGGGAACATCTAGAAGAGAAACAATCGATCGCTCAGGTTAAGCGAAACGATAATCCTAGATCGACTGGAGAGTCTTTCGTAGAGGATCTCGCTGTGGTTGCGCAACCCCAGCTAGAGGAAGTAAAGGGAATAAGTCCCAAGATTACAAATACGGCGGAAATAAGTTCCCCGAAACCCGCGGGAATAAGTCCCCGGGAAGACGAAGGAATAAGTCCTTCGAAGCCTGAGGGAATAAGTCCCCAGGAAATGACAGAGACATTGAATGTCATAGTCAATAACGGATCATGTGTAGGCGCTTATACACTTGATCTGATTGCGCCTCCGAAGTTAACTTCGGAGATCACTCAGTTGCCAACGCTCGAACATAAAAGGTTCTTGCGTGATCTGCGTAGTGGCAAAGTCAAGCAGATCTGCATACTCGTCGCTGACGACGAGTATGTAACCGACATAAGGTCAGCAACAGTGTTTACTGAGAACGAGAGAGTTCTCAGTAGTTCATCTATGGACGAGAGTGTCCTAGATGAAAAGACACGAATTGAGCGATATGAGTCCCAATCATGGGAATCGCTCAAGGAAAATCCTCTCTATGAAGATTTGGTTGAATTCAAGGATGTATTCCCTGAAACTGTTCCGTGCGAATTACCGAAGGATAAAGGTATTCGACACGAAGTCGAGCTTAAACCAGGCTCGAAGTACTGTGTCATGAAGCAGTGGCCACTGCCTCGTGAACAAGTACTTGCGATCGACAAGTTCTTTGCCGATCGTTTAGCAGCGGGCCATGTGAGGGAATCAACTTCCCCACATAGCTCTCCGACCTTCTGTGTGCGAAAAGCAACAGGAGGGTGGCGGATAGTGCACGCGTTTAACAAATTGAACGCTGCAACGGTACCGGCTCAGACGCCGATACCGAGGAAGGACGTAATCATTGATGGTATGTCAAAGAGTACCATCTTTTCGTCCATGGATTTGATGGATGGCTTCTATCAAATCCTAATGCGGGAACGGGATATACCCTATACCGCAGTTAGCACGCCTAGCGGCATGCTCTGGGAATGGCTAGTAATGCCACAAGGGCTCAGTAATGCCCCTGCCACGTTCAACAGATGTGTATCACATCTGTTGAGACCAGTACGAGAGTTCGCGCCGAGTTATTTCGATGACGTATTCATCCATAGTCGAGCTATGGATGGAAAGTCGGACGTTGAGGTTCACAGGTACCACGTCCGACAAGTTCTTACAATCATGCGAAAGCATCAATTGTATGCTAACCTCAAGAAGTGTATATTTGCAGCAAGCGAAATACCACTTCTTGGGTGCATCGTTGGTAAGAACGGTGTACGTCCTGATCCCGAAAAGATCAAGGCGATCACCGACTGGCCTGTGCCGGTCGATGTCAAAGGTCTTCGAAAATTCCTTGGGCTAGCGGCGTATTTGCATAAGTATTCACGCAATTACGCCGAGATGACTGTACACCTCTCTCGTTTGTTGAAAAAGAACGAGAGGTGGTTATGGAACGCTGAATGTCAACGCTCCTTTGAGGGTATCAAGCAGAGCTTGATACAATCCCCAGTCCTAGCAATAGCCGATCAGGACAGGCCATTTCATGTGGTCTGTGATGCCAGCGATTTCGCAATCGGCTGTGCATTAATGCAGTACGACCTTGAAGGCGTTGAACGCGTCGTCTGCTATCAGTCGCGTCAGCTGCAACCAGCTGAGCGGAACTATCCAGTGCATGACAAGGAACTCCTTGCCATGAAGTATGCACTCGCGAAGTTCAGAGTCTATCTATTAGGAGATAGACCCTTCGTTGTTTACACTGACCATGCGTCCTTACGCACGGCAGTGAACAGCCCGCACCTTTCACAACGAATGGCGCGGTGGTTGTCATTCTTTGCAGAATACAACTTTACGGTCGAGTACAAACCAGGACGACTTAATGTCGTCGCTGATGCACTCTCACGTCGTCCCGACTTTGAAACAGTCGCGAAACCCAACAGTGAGACAGTCACTGTTGCGGTTATGACGTCCTCAGTCCCATCTACAATGTTGTATGATGATGTGAGGCGGGCATACGCCCAAGATGGTGAGATAGTGAAGTTGTTGTCACATCTCTCCCAACCATCCCGAGAATCGTTGAAACGATTGTCGTCTGCGTATCGATCTGCATCAGATCGATACACTACTCGTAACGGTTTACTGTACTATACAGCCGTTTCTGGTGACACACCACGTGTTGTCATTCCAGATGATATTGATCTGCGTTTGCGGATCATGTTCGAGTATCACGATGCTCCTATAGGAGGACATCGTGGCCGAGAGAAAACATATCTCACGGTAAGTCGAGACTTTTACTGGCCCCGCCAGTATCAGTTTGTGCGAAAGTATGTTCGCGCATGCGAAGTTCTGCCAACGAGTGAAGTCAAGTCCTTCACTGCGTGCACCTTTACAGCCTCTACCGGTTCCGGCTGAGTGCTGGGAATCCATCTCAATGGATTTCGTCTTCGGGTTACCCAAAGACGCACGCGGGAATACGGGTATTCTCGTATTTGTTGACAGATTCAGCAAAATGGTACACCTTGTGGCTGTACCAGAGACAATCACGGCAAGTGGCTGTGCTTGTGTCTTTATTGACACCATCTTCCGACTTCATGGGTTGCCCCGTGAACTCGTATCAGACAGAGATCCACGATTCACTGCTGATTTCTGGCGCTCCGTGTTCAAATCACTCGGAACGCGCTTGAAGATGTCGACATCTGATCATCCAGAGTCAGATGGTCAGACGGAACGTGCCAATCGTGTCCTTGAAGAGATACTTCGAGGATACGTACACTCCTTTAAGAGTTGGAGTGAGTTTTTGCCAATGGTAGAGTTTGCCATCAACAACTCGGTGCATGCGTCCACGACACATACACCGTTTTACGTGAATGGCTTGCGCCATCCGCGTGTACCCACCTTACTAGAGTGTAACTCTGGTTTAAGGGGGGAGGGACTCGCGCGAGCAAAAACCGATTTGGTTCACGCTCATCACGCTCTGACGAAGAAGTCATTGCGTTTGATGCCGATATCGATAACATCGATATCGAAGAAGATGATGCCAGTGAGAGTGCGGAAGCCCTCACTGAAGAAGATGATCCCAGTGAGAGTGCGGAAGCCCTCACTGAAGAAAAGGTTGTTGTTGCTGCAGTGCGCTCACAGCACACTGAAGCTAACGAGTCATCAGATGAGTTCATACTGGCTCGTGAAACGGTAGTCCGTTTTGTGCAAGACTCCATCGCCGAAGCGGTGGATAAGCAAAAGCAAAACGCTGACAAGAATGGAAGGGCAAACACTCTTTTATTTAATAAAGGTGACTTAGTCCTACTGTTTACGGTTAATCTACCAAAACATGTAGTGACTAACTTGGGTAGCAGTAAACTACTACCCAAGTACATTGGCCCATTTCGTGTATTGCACCGCCTAGGCAATGCATACACGATCGAGTTACCACGTAAGATGCGAACGCATCCCACGTTTTACGTTGGTCGGCTTAAGCCGTACCATCAGTACGCTGCTTCTTCCGATGAAGAACGCCCTTGCGCTCAAGCATCTCGCAGAGAGCCTTGTGCTCCCGATGGTGGGCATCAACAAGGGTCTGAAGAGCAGTTATCTCAGCCCGAGACCGATCAACAATCCCACGAGCTACCCTTAGCTCGTCACGAAGAGATGTCAGAGATCTCTCGTTCTCAAGCTGAGCAAAGGCAAACTCAGCTCGATGCTTCGAGGCAGTGTCCACCATCTGGAGACGCGTGTCCCGCTCATGCTCGAGATCGTCGCGTAACCCTTGCGTTACGCGATCAAAGAAGCTCTCGGGAACACACCGATCCACATGATCGTGTGGAGAGCGTCTTTCCTCCTCCTCCACCTCCATTAGAGGACTCTCGCGGTGGCCAGCGCTATCTAGTAGAGCAGCTGTTGAACCACCGCGACGTGAACGGACGTCGGACGAGTTACCTCGTCCGGTGGCGCGGCTATCCCCCGTCCTGGGATTCTTGGGAGCCCCGCTCCCAATTGATGGTTGACGTACTGGGTCTGGTCGAGCAGTACGACGCGACACATCCTGTGCCGCAGAAGGACCGCCGGAGAAAGTCTTCCCGGCACGGTCGTAAAGGGATTTCAGGTTGTCAATCCCTTCGTACATCTCAGTAGAGACACGTACACGCCACCACGGGCTGGTAAGGAGGTAAGCCTCCTTAGGTGCTCGTGCAGAGTTGTTCACACAACATGGGCACGAGTCTCCCCAAGAGAGGGCAGGGTAATCCTTTCTCCCTTGACAGACGATGCAGCTTATAGCGTGCACCTGTCGGGGTTCGCTTTTCAAACTTATCACGAGCTTTGATAAGTTTGTCGTTCCAAGCGTCACGACCTACATCCTCGAGATTATGGATGTAGGCGTTCCACGCCTGAAGTAGTGAGGGACCATCACGTTTGTGATTCCCACTGTACCATCGATGTCTGAAGAAAGCATCGATGAAGAATTCATGTTCAGCGCGATAGTCTTTCGCGCTGGGGTCAAGGTGATGAATCCTTGACGAATCGAACAATCGTGTTCGATAACGATCACTCGTCGTCGCCGACAAGTGATCCATGACGGATTTAGGAGGCATCCATGCCTTCTTTTCTGGAGCGAGACGCAACACATTGCGGTCCCGCTCTTCCTGCGACGTGCCGACAGAAGTACTGGCACCTCGCTGTGAAGTGGTGTCCATAGGAGAACCGACACCACTATTAGCGCCCGAGTCTCGCGACCTCGAGCGCCTTCGCTTCGGCGATGGTTCATCTGACTCATCAGATGAACCAAAGATGCTGCGACGCAAAGCATCGTCCATGCCACGCTTGGCAGGCGGCTTGGATTCAATTGCCGTCGATACGGATCCGTCATCCGTATCAGGAGAGTACGAGACACCGAGCTCGTACTCTGTGAAGACACGAGTGTCTTCATGACCAGCGCCTGCATCACCAGGTGATACAGGCTGAGTCGATTCAGCAACCGATGGGATATCAGTTGCTGTAGTTTCTGCTTCGGCGTCCGCACAGAGACGTGCAGACGCGCTCTCGGCGGCCTTGCTCGCGCATCGCATGGGCTTGTTTACCATGCGATGAGATGTTGGAAAGTGGACGCGGACCAACAAGTGCAAACCCCGTCCCAAATGATTTGGGACGAGTATCCATTTAGTCAATCAGTCACTAAAGTGACTGATGGTTAAGGGGGGTGATGTAACGGGGTGAATCGTTACATAACAATTTATAAGAAATTGTTAATAGAATATAACTATAAGAGTTATATTCTCAGAATATTGTCATAAGGACAATATTCGGTAGCACTTCCAAGTAGTTCCTAATTGGTTGATATAGGCCATTATATCAACCAACGAAGACGCGCCACGACAGACGCACGCAATGAGTGGTGAGCAGATAACTGATTTACACATTTGTATTTAGACATAGTTAGATGAAGATAAATAGTGATTTATTGCAGACATTAACTATTATAAATACAGTTCTACTTTTTACTCTAACCGAGTACTCGCTTCTTCTTACCGTCTTCCTCTGCACGTACGAGTGTACGTGAAGTTACGAGGCACCGCCTTATTCTGTTATCAGAATAAGTAGCTTGTACTGTCACCAGTACAAGCTTCAGGGTGCCCCGTTACACAGGGTGCCGTGGCGACACGCTGTAAATGGTGGATCGTAATCACTCTTTCACCTAATACTAGCGAAGTGACGTTGAGAAGTGTAGAGGGATAGTCCATGCCGGGGAAGATAACCATCCAGTAATGATTATCGTGTTCCGCAAGCCCCTTAACACTAGGATGTCGGATATCCAAGATACTGGTTCCAGCGATCTGGCTAAACACGGTATGCAGCAAGATCGGATCTAACCCCTCGGTCCCAAGTACTTTTAAAGCATAGTGTCTTGCCACCTGTGGTAGCGTCTTGTTCCTGGGATGTCGTTTCAGCCGACCGCAAGGTGATGGTACAATCACGTTGTCTGAGCTCCGTGTTGGCCCAAACAGCGGCTGCACGCTTAGACATGAAGACAAATGATAAAGTGTGGTTGCCGTCAAAGACTACCCGTTGTGCTGCTAGGACAAAAAGCCGCATCTTGATCCTGTCTCCCTCATTCCTTGCATGGGCCGCACTGATCTCGCGTAGGATAGACCGACGGTGGAGCGATTTGCCTAGCCGAGCCCTCGCCGGAACGTCAGCTATCAACGTCCCTTCGACCTGAAACTGGTGATAAGCCATCATAGCGGCTCTTTGCAAACCTGGTGTGGTGCATACGAGAAAGGTGGGCGGGCCCGGAAGGTCAAGACGGCGTTCCACGTAGGCACTCAACGCGGTCCGTTCATCCGAGGTCATCGGTCGAAGAGAGGAGTCATCGTCGTAAAGCGGGTAATCCTTCGTTGCGATGTGGAACAGCCTCTGCTCGACCGTAGCTTCGGCTACTGTGGCGGTAGCGGGAGCAACACCAATACCCCGCAGCCGTGCAACCCCCGCTGGTGTCCATACTGCAGTAGAACGGCCGGCCGCTGTCAGATCACGGGCATGAGTAGGCTCATTAGAGTCATCACTGGTTTCGTCCATGGTCATGTCACTGGTCATAGGGACCGATTCGAGCTCCTCCGCGGAATGAGCTGGTTCTGGAGGCGGATCGAGACATCCTGAGACAGCTACATCCCGCAGGGAAGAAGAATCGTCCGGAGGATCCGGCGGGCGAGGGGGGCGACCCGCTCTCGTGGAGCTGTCGCCACCACTCATTTTCGTGGTGGTATTGAACTGAAGAACTAAAAGGGCTGATTACAAATCGCTGGAGTCGTGCCACGGCAATTTGAAAAGTGATCCAGCTTCTCATGGATTAGTCATTGAAGATTCTGTCGAATGCGTAGCGTATGATTGTATTTTTATTCATCGGGTTTGATGTAGATTTGACGCCAGTGAGATGCGGCAGATCGAATGGATCGGCTTGCGTCAGAGCTCGTGTTACCAAACGAAATGTTAGCGTCCCTATGGTCAGGAACTTGACCGTGAAGAAAAAAACAGTTGCAACATTGACTACATGCGGACTTCAAAGGCCACTAGTTCCACACCTATCGGGAGCATGGCGGTCGCAGACGTCAATCCCTGCCGATGCAATGAGTGGTCAAGTGATTTGAAGCCGCCTGTTAAACCTCGACCCGAAGTAATTTGCTAAATCCGAATTCGCCCTCAGTTCCTAGCAAAAGGGTGGGCGATTGTAGCTCAGGGAGCCGTCGCAATTTCGCTCACCTTGCTGTTCAAGAGGTGAAAAGTAGAGAACGATCGCGTTTGAAGCTCTACGACTCATTATCGAGGATGTTACGCTCACTTCCTGAATAAATTGAACGAAGTCTTCGTTCTTGCTGGATGAGAACAGGAGCTAGATTTAGCTTGGATTCGGGTTCAATCACTATCCGCTTTACACTGAATAACGGTACAACGTCATCGTCCTTGTGTATAGATGAGAGGTTTTACGCTGATCTGCATGAAGCCTACGCCAACGTTGAGCGGGGATAATGTTCCCAAGAACCTGCTTACGATGTTTCCGTTAGACTTCTTCATCTACATCGATGGTTTGGGTGAAAGTTGGCTAGTTCTTTTCTCGCATCTCATTGGAAAAGTATTGAGCAAGCGGATCAAGTTTCAAATTGATTTATAAAACTTGATCTGCATGAGGTGGCCAAAGCGAAGTGATCAGGTTTTAGATGATTCCGAGCAGGAAAAGCTGACCACCACGACAAATTGTGGCGCAGTGTACTCATACCATATTGTGTACCATCGCCTTCCACAAGTCCGATCTTAGTTTTCTTATGGATTCATACCCATGACGTTCCTCAACTGTGATCATAGCGTGTGTCAGAATCCTTCTCAGGTTTTACACTGTGATATAGCGCCCTCTTCCGGGTAGAGCAAAGATACAAATCCGTCCATGCATCTAAGTCGTAAAAACTTTGGAGGATTGTGTGCGCTTGAGCTCAGATAAATAGCGTACGTGGATCGGGGCGCGCCTCAGTACGAATGATTAGTCCGGAAGTCACGGCGAATAGGTGGGACCTCGAAGCTTGTGTGTCTCTTATCGCTCGCGTTGTCGTTTATCCATGCAGCTCAGTGGTTGGAACCGACACAAGCGACATCAAGTACACATGCTCGCGTATTGACAAGTGGTACTTCCGGTAGATCATCAGCGAGAATCAAAAATGAGACCACACGTAGTAAGAAATGATGTGAGGCCCTTGAGTTGAAGACACTACCTGTTGCAAGGCCACCCACCGATTGTACGAAACTTTCCACGTAGGTAGAAACGCTTGCTCTCGTGTCGAAATGTCCTCCGTTCGTAAGCGTGCTGTTTATCGATATCCCGTAGTATGTAACTCGCGTTGATGCACATTTTCTGTAGTACTCACGCTAACTTCACGCGCGTCCGGTATAACATCCGGATCGGGCACATCTTGTGTAGTGATTCAGGCAAACACGGGAGCGAGGTGATAGCGATCGAGAAGGTCATCTACGGATGCCGATCAGGTAGGTGGGTAGGTTAGATTTGGCTATTCTTTTGCGACGAAGCGCAGCCACGCGAGTAGAAATGAGGGCCACCTGAAGTTTGCTAGGTACAAGAGGCCATGTATGTCCAGATTTACCATCGCCATTGGACATGTGAACTGCAGCGGCAGAAAAGGACTCACCGCCCCTCACGATGTTTGCAATTGGTTTTTTTCGTCGTCAATATGGCAAGTGCAGTACTAATCGCTTGAACTATCAATAGGCTACGAATCGCACGAGTCGCGTGAAAGATACCGCATCAATCGGCAAACAACCTTCCTTATCCTCGTCACTCTTGTAGTGGTAACAGCACTTTCCCACGTGTAACGAAGCAGCGTACAGACAAATAGTCGGGATGTGTTTTATCCGCGTAGGAGCTGGTCAAATCCTTCAATCTCTGAGTTTCACAGCATGATAATCGTTCGGCCTGACTGATTGATTGAGCCAACTAACGGTTCCATTCGTCAACTGTGCTCGATCTATCGCGATGCAAGTTCTCACTTTTGCACTTCGTCATTCAAGCTCACTCTAGCATTAACTCCTCCGCCACTTTTGCCAAGATGACCAAGGGTTTCCAAAGTACTCTGCTCTCCCAAGTGAAAGCTCAAGAAGAGCGAAAGCTGATTGACAAACTCCGCGATATTGGTCTTGGTCAATACATTGAACTGCCGCAAATTGCGGTTATGGGGGACACTTCCAGCGGAAAATCGTCGCTCTTGTCGGCGCTTTCCGGCGTCTCGTTTCCATCATCCGATCAACTCACAACGAGATGTCCTACTCAACTCGTGCTCTCTCGTGCCCACACGTTTAGTGGTACAGTGCGTCTCGTTCGGTTTAATTCGACTGATACCACGGAAGGTGAGACGGATAATGGGGAAGACAGTGAAGAGCTCACTCACCTGGATGACGTCCCATGTGCTATCACGAAACTCACGCAGAAACTCATCGACGAAGGCCAATACATTAGTGATGATCAGATCGTGATTGAAATGAGCGGCCCCGAGATGCCGAATCTCACTCTCACCGACTTGCCGGGGCTCGTTCGCACCGTGGGCGATCACGAGGACCATAGTATCATTTCCAGGGTTCGCCAAATGATCAACCGCTACATGCAGCAAGAACGTACGGTTATCATTGCCGTGGTGCCGGCTAACGTTGACATGCACAATACGGAGATTTTGCAAGCAGCTCAAGAGGCGGACCCGAATGGAACGAGAACCATTGCGGTGGTGACCAAGGTGGATTTGGTTGATGCCGGTGCAGAGTTGGCAGTGCACGAGTTGCTTCTGAACCGGAAGAAGAAAATGCACTTGGGTTACCACGCTGTCAAGTGCCGCAGTCAGCGAGACTTGTCGAAGGGTGTGAGTATTCAAAAGGGGTTGGCAGTTGAGAAGGTGTTTTTTGGAGAGCACGAGTATTGGCGCCGACTACCGACGCACTTGTGGGGAGTGCCACGATTGAGTGCACGGCTGATGTCGATTCTGCAGGACAATATCCGCCGGTCGTTGCCAAAGGTGGTGGAAGAGATTAGTTCGCGCATGGCGGCGATGCAAAAGTCGTTGGCAAAACTGGGCTCGCCTTTGGACACCCCCGTCGCGCAGCGTCAGCAGTTTGGCAAATGGGTCGACCAGTATCTGCGGCTGATTAAAGCAGCGATGAGCGGGCAGTACGAAGCACTGCCATCTACGCCAACACCGACAGCTTCGGATCAGTGTTCGACCCCCGCTGAGATGAACATTCGTCTTCGAGCCGTTCTCCGCGTCAAGGAAGCTCGTTTTCAAGAGGCGATCAACTCGTCGAAGGACTGTGCGTTCGGTGGCGATACGAAGAAGCAGCATGAAGAAGTGGCAGTCGGAGATGCCGTGCAAATTGAGATTGACGGTCAGTACCACAGCGGACGAGTGAAAGGGATCAACGGGACGGACATTTGCTGTGAAGAGTTTGACCAGCAGTGGAAGAGCAAGGACCATTGGCGCTTTGACGAGCGGGCAATGCTGAAACAGTTTATCCGTGAAAACCGCGGCGATGAACTTCCGATTTTCACGTCGTACCAAGTCTTTTGCAACTTGTTTCGCAGGATCGTGGACAAGTGGGGGCCACCGGCGTATACACTGGTGAGCGCGTATCAAGTGCAGACGAAGCTCGTGTCGGACTTTGTTTCGGGGGAGATTGGGGCCAAGTCTCGGGTCGTGCAGTTTCTCAGAAGCACCGCTTCCGATGTGCTGGATCGGGTAGTCGCGAATGCGAGTAAGGAGATGCGACTTGTGCTGGAGGGCGAAGGTCGTCCGTACACTCAGGACAAACGTTTGTTTGCCGAATTGGACCAAGAGCATTCGAAAGCTCTTCGTGAGCAAATGAACACGTCGATTCAAGCGGATGACAGTGGAAAAGTGGATCTCGCCGAGGTTATGAAAGTCGTGGAGGCAGCGAAGCTGTCCATGGAAGATCGAGAAGCGCTTGATATGCAGGCGGCATTGCAAGCGTATTTCAAGGTTGCGGTCGCGCGGTTTGCAGACGAGATTCCCATGCGGCTGAACGACTTGATTCTGGAGAGGTTTGTGGATGAAATGACAAACGAGCTCAATGGGTTGACGGATGCGACACTAGCCCGCTTAATGCAAGACTCGGAGCTGAAGGTGGCGGAACGTCGTCAGCTCAAGGAGGAATTTGCCTGCCTGGTGCACGCAAAGAAGGAGATCGAGTTCGTGTGCTAAGTGTGTGTTCAACCAGGAACAGTACACGTCCAAGTCATCGGTAGTGTAGTGCATCGTTGAGTCTTTTCATGTGTCACTTGCTTGGTGAACCTGATCAGGAATTGAAGCTGCCGTTCTTCATTCACATCAAACTTTGCGTTTCGTGTTCATGAGCGAGTTAATCAGCAGTATTAGTACCCGCTGACGGGTGGATCACGCCTCAGTTGAGAAAAACGATGAGAACATCGGAGAAGTCCTTTCACATGACGCGTTACTATGAGCACGCAGGTGCGTGTATCCTGCTTATCAAATGGCGATCAGCACCAATGGCCACCCTCCAAATGTAGATGAATGTGTTTACCCATCTCTTCAACAATGTTACAGGACCGATACCGTTTGATGTCCGCTGGTATGTCATTGTGTTCAAATCTGTACTGAAAGCTCAGTCAGCAACTCTTTCGTGGGCCAAAAATCGTCACGATCGTTCCAGCCTCGATGGTGCTGGTGCGACTGCACTTCATCAAGTGCACCATTCTGGTGAATATGGCAATAGGCTGTTGCTCCTATCAAGTCGAGGTTTCATGCCCAAAATCAGCTACCGCAAAAGGTAGACAACGAACGGTCTTGGCATGATGACAGCCTGAGCTACGAAGCGCTTTGCAACACTTCCGCAAAAAGCTCAATGGTAGACACCAACACCACTAACAATCCTCAACAATGCCACGCCAGAGATATCGCGGGACTGTGGTGCACCAAGTGCATGGCCAGATGCTGATGACTGCAGCGAGACGATCCAGGCGGTCTCCCATGAGAAGAAGCGCAACGGATCCACAAGGAGAATACTTCCAACAGTCCAGGCGAACACAAGTTGAGCTGCATGAATACCGAGTGGCTGCAGCTGCTGAGAACGCGCGACACCGGGCTACGAAGGCATTACCTCCGTATACAGGCAAGTGCTTCTGTGAAAACACAAATACACATCAAGGTCAAACATCACTTCAAAGATAACGACCGACGACTTTCTGTCCGAAGCAGACACGAGTGCCGGCAGCATATTTACTCGAGCACGTTTTCCACACATACAAGCAGTACATCGAACAGCTGCTCATTCGAGCCATGTATTGCAAGAGAAGCTGTCCGAGATGACCATGAACCTAGTACTTGATCTAACCATCTTCCATTCGATCTACAAATCCAACAACGGACACAACAAACGACGATTTGTTTACGAATTGCCCACGTCGTCGTCTTCTTCAGAGTCATAGTCAACAAAAGCCTGTGCAAATGCTCCCGGTCAGTATCGCAGACATCAATATCCACGTTCCTTTTGTCAAACACGTTCTCTTCTTCGTACCTTGTACTCATCCCACACATCCTCAATAAATGTCAGAAACTTGACAAGTGCGTCCGTTGACGCCGTATCCTTTTCCGTCAGCGATAGCAATGGATGGAACGTGTCACTACTGAACTCAACCCCGCGATTCTGTGCTTTCTTCATGATCTCCATCGCACTTTCGTACTCGCGATTCTTGATCAGTTCCACTAGTACCGGCAAAAGCGTCTGCTCGTTTGGACACACACCTCTCCCATTGACAAGTTCCTTCAGAATCTCCATAGCTTCTTCCAGTCTCTCTGCCTCGATCAGCGCCGTAAGCAGACCGTTATAAGCCGGCAAGTCCAACATAACGCCCTGATTCACGGTCTCATCATACAGCTTAAGAGCCACAAATTCGACAAGACAGGATAACCGCACAGCACAGCAAAACAGGATAAGCATGCCGTCATAAAACACAGGACTCTACCCGCCTAGACCAACTTAAGCAGTCGAAACCTCAATAGCGGCATCCAGCATCTGGAAGTGTACGCACGCGTCCATGACGTAAATGGACGCTAGATTCGTATCGTCATCAGGCTTTACACCGATAGTACGATAGACTCCACACAGGAGCTCAAAGGCACGTAACGCGTGACTTGGATTCCTCCGCTGTCGAGCCAGCAGCACAGCCACTTTCTGCAGCAATTGATAGCTCGGAGGCGACTGCAGCTGTTCCAGATGGTAGAGCGCTAGTGACGGACGGCGCTGGCGAATCGCGTGCTCTAAAACGGTCAATTGATGACTGCATTCAGGATAAGAAGCAGCAGAAGCAGCAGCTGCTGCAGTAGTAATAACACTTGGGGTCAACGGCGAACCGTCGAGAGAGCGGAACGAGCGGAACACTCGCGACGACGACAGCGGACGACGCAGTGCTGCTGCAAACGGGCGGAGGAGCATCGCGTAGTCGCCTTTATACTGGATAGCCAGGTCGTGAGCGGGATTGTGGGTGTCCTGTGCGGGATTTGGTGAATCCCGTGGAAAGTAATACATGAGAAGGTGCTCGTATCCTGTCGCATGCAGTTTTGCGGTGGATAGAGTGCATTTACGATATTATCTTGTCAATGACATCCCAATGTGATACTAGCAAAGTTACATAGGCGCAAAATTGCTGGATGCTAATGTGCATCAAATTCGTCGATGCAAAGCGGATCACAGGACTTGGACACGTGCAGCTGTCACGGGGCTTTTTGCTGATTGCTCTGATAGATGCCTTCACAACATGGAACTTGTCTATCTATTCAAGTTACTTGAAGCATAATGAGACGATGTCTCCCTCCCTGATGTACCGCGAATAGTGATGTTTTTTTCATCCAGCGTCATAGTATTGTAATGCACTTCGTTGCCCCTTTTCAATCGCATGCTCATATCGACGAGCGCCATCTAGACGATTCTTGCAGAGCCTCACTCCTTCTCCTCTAATGTGCAAACGTTTTGTGACTTGCATATTGACTTGCTCGCTGTCACTTGTACGAACGAACACGGATGTTTTCATGTTCGTACCTGCACCCATCCCCGCATGATGGAAATGACAGATTCGGTTCTTTCATACGGATACCGCGCGATTTGCTCATGTGTGTCGTCGAAGGCAGCCCACTTCGTAGTAGTGATCTGACGTGACTTGGATGGTAGTGTAACTAACAACGTCATGGTTTCAACGTCACGATCGATGTTACCTGGTGAATGTCTGGAAAAGTTCATAATAGAATACCTAAGCATGGCGGGTCTTCTCCATTCATGTCAGGTACATGCTTCGTTTGTTTGCCGTATATTCTACTTTGTACGACACGTATTCTGGTCTCCCGTGCGAGTGGAGATGCCGGCGGCTGAATAGTCTAACGACTAATGCATACTAGTTCCGCTGATCACCAAACAGTTCGAGACCGGATGCAGCAAATTCAATTCCGAGTTACTTCCTCAACCATTAACCGACGACGCTCAAGTATTCGGGTCAGGTGCGTGGCGACAGAATACATGCTCTGCATCATCATCGGACCGGAACAAAATGCGACCTGAGTTTTTCAAGCCTTGGGTCCTATCTGCAGCTGGTAGCAGCACGAATTTCCTACGATATAGCTGGATGCTCTTTCACGACACTGCATTCAGAAAGCCAAGACGGTGCAATTCGACAAAGAGTAGCGATCAAACCGCCGTATCATCGCAGTGGCTTGATCTTGATACTGCGAAAGGAGACCAGAATTCTCACTCACGATTATTACTCATTCCGTTTGTAAATGAAGTAGTCGTTGCTTTACTCCGAGACGCCAACCTGACAGGTCGCAACCACGCCTGGAGGAGTCTCAGGTCCTTGGCCTGTAAAACAGCCCCCCCCAATAGAAGAAGGGAAGATTCTGTCCTACAGCAAAGATTGATCCTCTTAGCAGCAAAATGGCTGTGAGACGATGGAGTTGCTGATTCGTACATGGCAAGGTGCGAAACGTTGACGATTAGCAGCGGTTTATGCCTTGGAGACGAAGCTGATCGCCATTAGCAGGAACTAGCTTTACTTGCCGAGAAGCGTTATGTGCAAAATCAACGACGAGATCCTAGGTCGACCGAGAGGCGATAAGTTGGCTGTACTAGCGACGCAGTACATGCCCTGCTCAACATTATGCGTGCAATCTCCTCGTTCAAAGTTGCTTGCCATGCAGACCACATCCGCAAAGTGCCAACGCCGACCCTGAAGCCGCATCATTGCCAAGTAGCAGCGACCGCATCATTGCTAGTTGTTGGCCATGCTGCGACTCAAGGGTTTGCATCAATCAAGTGCGTAGCTGAGCAGTTGAAAAAGAAAAGCAGACACTGGCATTTGGTTCTTCTGGATGTCAGTATGTGCTATCAGTATACCCGATGGGACAGCCATTTAGTACGCTGGTGCTAGTCATCCGAATACAGCAAGTTGTCACTTCACCCCTTGACTCCTTTGCATGTATGTATTTGTTTCAATGAAGGAGTCAAGTCTGAAGACTTCCGCTTGCTGCTTTCCGACGCGAGTACAGATGGTAAGGACCATCTCCGTAATTCGTTTCCATCTACGCTCCCGGACACAGCGCATTAGCTGAACTAAACTAGAAACAAAGCGAGCTAACAAAAGTCAGAAAGCCTTCTCGCTCGTGACGTCACTGGATGATTGATCTCCTCAATCCTCGGCGCCCACGAACGTGTAATTTGTTCAAGCACACAACAACAGCCACGCTATTGACGCTTTACCGGAACTGTGCATGTAATGCACAACTATCGGCTTCACAGTTCGTACTCGGGCATAAACAAGGTCGCTATGGCACTCTCAATCAGGAAAGAGAAGGCGAAAGCACCCCGTTATTAGTACCACACTAGCATCTGCAAGAAGTGTCGACATGTGATCACAAACCGCCTGTTCCTGGTTAAGGGTGGTCTCGTGTTGCGTTTATAACCACCATACGTCCCTAACCAACTAAACTGGCGCTCACGTGGCTGATGGGGTTGACTAGGTGCACATGCATGAATAAGGTCTGTCCAGGTACTCGACGTAGCCTCAAACCAATTGATGATTCAACGACGACAAGTACTGCATCAATTTGTATACGAGTAAAGTCGATGACTGAACGTATGGACGAGGCGGTCCCCGCTTCGGTGCAAAAAGCGGCAGAACTCAACGATCAACGTCGACGTCCCGACGATCTTCGTGGCGGCACAACGTCACGACCCCAGCGCTCAGCCGCGGTAATTCTTTCGTGAAACAGAATGCACGGTCGTTCGCTCTCAGCCGCGATGATCAGGAGTCAAAACAGCCGATCCTGCAGCACCGAATAACTTGTCGAATCCGCTCACATTCACGACACTCACAACACACTCAAAACTACACTGACCCCTCTACCACAATTCATATAACCCACCAGCTTATACATCGCCATCTTCCCCCCTTAATCCCATGAACCGTCATACCTAATTCCTCCGCTCCATCCCCGTTACACACACGACGTATCAACAGACCCGACAGCCACCGCTCAGTCCCTTCATTTCCACTTTGCCACTGCAACACGCAAGTGCGTCATCGTCACCTCGACACACCAGCATACAACAGACCAATGCCCACATCCATCTCCCCTTCTCCTGTCGTCACGACCGGACAAGCGCCTCTCCAGCCGTCGCCCAGCCCTCCTCCATTCGACCTTAAAGCCCTGCACAATCCCGAGCACAGCACTGTAGTTCTCGCCCTTGATGGCGACCTCAAAGACGAACAACAACAGCAACAAACCAGTGCTCTTGCAGCCATGAAGAAGCTCCAACGCGCTTGTCTCTGCTCCTTCCTCTTCATGTGCGTGCAACTTGCTGGTGGGTACTACACCGACAGTCTCGCCATTCTCTCCGACGCTGCCCACGTCCTGTCCGACGTGGCGAGTTTCCTCGTCTCGCTCTTTGCCCTGTACTTGGGGCAATTACCACCGTCGGCGACGATGCCATTTGGCTACCATCGAGCAGAAGTGATTGGCGCGCTCTTGAGCGTGCTTCTCATCTGGGTGCTGGCCATTGGACTCTTGTGGACAGCCATGCAGAGAGTGTACGACCAGGGGCGAGGAGGCGAGGAAGTCCACGCGGACGTGGTCGTGGATGGCAAGACCATGTTTGTTGTAGCCATGTGTGGACTAGGGATCAACCTCCTGTTGATGAAGATCTTGGGTCACGGTCACGGTCATGGCCACGGCCATAGTCACGATAAACAGGACGGAGGTCATTGCCATGGACAGGATGGACGTCATTGCCATGGACAGGATGGACGTCACTGCCCTGATGACAAGAGCGGGACGACGTCAAGTGCTCAGGATCTCGTACGGACGCCCATGTCGGCCATGGCTTTGATTGATGGTGTGGAGATGGAGCCCTTGGCAGCTGACGTGGAGAAGCTGGCACTGAAATCGTCGGTGTTTGAGAACATCAATGTCCGGGCCGCGTACATCCACGCTCTTGGGGATTTCGTCCAGAGCTTGGGCGTGTGTCTCGCTGGCGGCTTGATCTGGTACAACCCGTCGTGGCAAATGGCAGACCCGATCACGACCATCCTGTTCTCGTTCCTCGTGCTGGCTACGACCATTGGCGTGCTAACGCGCAGTGTCCACATTCTGATGGAAGGTGCACCGCCAGCACTGGATCTGCGTATCGTGGAGAAGCGCATTCGAGCGCTGGCATCGGTGTACGACGTGCATGATCTGCATGTGTGGATGCTCACGGAAGGGCATTACGCAGCGAGTGTGCACATTCTACCGAACGGGGAGCCTCGTATAGCTCTTCGAGCAACTCAGCGCGTACTGGCATCACTCGGCGTGCGTCAGCAAACTGTGCAGGTTGAAGACCCGACCGATCGAGACTGGACTGAAGACTTGTACTGCAACTGGACGTCGCACTCGAACGTTGCGATCGAGGCCGAGAGCAAGATGTCCGTGCCGCGTGCTGGTACCAAGAAGGCGGCGCTCGAGCCATTGCCTGGATCAACAACTTTCGCCTAAAGGTGGTGTATGTGCGTAGCGGTGAGGTGTTATTTAATGTAAAATGTTCTCTGTACCTTGTGATGTTGCTAGCTACCAGCAGTCTGCCTCTCTTCTGCTTTGGGCAAGCTGCTCACCTGTCGACGCCTATTGCAGCTAGCTTAGCTTGATGCGGTCGTCTGCGATTTCTCTGCAACCTTGTGTGGCTCACTTTCAGCACTAGCAGCCGTCGACGGATCCTCCTTTGTCGCGTCTGTAGTAGCTTCGTCATCTGTGGCTTCCTTGGAACCTGTCACGGTGCCACTATCCTCTGCCTCCGACTCGGCCGCGGCCGACTCGGGCTGCTTCGGCTTGGGATCTACACGCTTTGGCTCCATCTTGGACTTCAAGAATTCCATGAGGCGAAACCCGGGCGTGGCGTGGTGATCCTTGGAGATCTCGCGCACGATGTCTTTGATAGACAAGATCCCGACAAGCTCTTTCTCGCGCTCGTGGCGCAGCACACCAAGCACAGGAAAGTGGCGGCAGTTGGAAGTGGCAGCTACGTTCCAACACTTCTCGAGCGAATCCTCAACTTGAAGCACTGGACCCACGGACGACATCACATCCGTCACAAGCAGCTTCGTCGGGTCTTTCAACTCGAAAAGCACCTTACGAATATAGTCGCGCTCCGTGAAGATGCCGAGCACGCGCTGTTCCTTGTCAACCACAAGGACAGCACCAAAATTCCGCTCAGCCATGGCCTCTACCGCTTCTGCCACAGTGACGTTATCATCAGGTCGCGTATTCAGAATCAGCTTGATCTGCTTGTGCTTCTTTTTCAGCAGCGTCGCTGCAGTCACAACGGGAGACGTCGTTGTCGCCGGCGATGAGGACGGAGCCGCAGCAGCATCCGTCGATACTGCCGTCGTCTCACTGTCGGTGGTCTCAGTCGTTCGAGTCACAGTCTCACGCGGCTTCGTCTCTCGAAATTCGTCTGCCTCTTTATTCGCAGCACCACGCGTTGTCGAGTTCTTGGACGCCTCAAACTCTGCAAACGCACGGACAATGTCCGTGATCGACAGCACGCACCGCATATCTTCCTCTAGCACCGATCCTCGCTTCACGGCACTCGAGATATCGCCTTTGACCACTGCCAAGTGTCTAATATTCTCTTTCGTCATCGTTGCTAAAGCACTACCATCACCAAACAAGCACAAAATAGCAAAAACACACCGAACAAAGAACAAAAACACACCGAACAAAGAACAAAAACACACCGAACAAAGAACAAAAAACGCACATGTCAACCATCACAAAACACCATAAAATCAGCAGCACTACCACAGAAAGACCACAGCCGCTTCATCCACATACTCGATCACAGTCGTGCTTGGGTGGATGCACATAATGTGCGACGACATGACGTCCCGCACGGCCATTTCGCGCCGCAGCTCTTCGCGTGGCGACACTTTTTTTAAAATGTCTCGTTCCGTGACAATGCCCACGATACCCTCCTTTATCTCCGTCACAATAAGCGAGCCGATATTGCGCTCCCCCATCGTCAACACGGCGTCGTGTACTGTGTCCTACACAACATAGAAATGCCCAGGAACAAGAAGTCAATAGAAATCGCAATAGAAATGTACACACATAGAAATCAGCACGTCACGATCTCGACCGCATGACCCGATTTTTGTTGCACGTGTCGCACCGTATCCGCCACGCTCTCCCACTCTTCATAGTCACACAGTGTCTTGTCGGTCCCCAGCGCGCGTTCGCGAGCGTTAAGTACGTCAGCAATCGTCAAGACTTTGGCGTCCTCGGCTCCGATTGTACCCAAATCGATAGTTGCGTGGTCCACGCTATCTGTCCCCGGAGGATCTGAGTCTGATTCCTTAGGCAGTGACGACGATGATGGACTAGCAGAGACGGAAGAGGGCGCGAGCGACGCGTTGTAGCGCACACGGGAGATAACAGGTGCGTGGCGGTGCACGGGGATGTGGTGTGATAGGACGGGGGTGGATGCAGCGAGAGGACGAGAGGACGCACGCGCGACTATATTACGAGCGCAGAGGACGCGCAAGCGCATGGTTTAGAAATGTGCTGGAATCGAAAATGGGTCATTTCTGTCGGAGAAATAAAAGCTAGCGCTAGAAGTGACGTAATTGGGTCGATGCATGTGGTTTTAAATGAGATGCATTCATTGAGATAGATTTTGTAGCTTATCCTTGAACCAGCCACGAAGCCAACAAAAAGTCGAGATTTTCGATTGGAATAAGTTCTAGATGAAATGAACTGGCACATTAAGGTACGAGGTACGAACAGCCGCCGTCACCTGTAAAGTTCGTCCTGAAGACAAATAAATGATGCCGACACTAAACTGTTCGAAGTCTTCGACACGGTTGGGTCGGACTGAACAATGTCGATTGACGGACTGTGCCGTTTCATTGAACATACAGATGTTCATAGCTCATCTGCTCGATCGATCTGTTCTGGCCACAATCGCCAACGTTAGACAGAAATGGCATTGACGAGATCTCCGCAACAAAACATCAGGCTTAGCCTTAGGCACCTGTGGCATATCGTTAGACCCTTTGTTTAGGAGGCCATTGAAGATAAATAATTGATTTGTTTCCTTGAAACACTTGAAGAGACACCAGCTTTTGACAGGTCCATGTGTTCCTGTCGACGTTTTTGGTTGCGCTACTTCTTGCACTCGTCATTATCGTATTAGTGCTTAAGATCTTCGGCTCATTCGTACCATGATAATGTGGTATGGCCTTCTTTTCAGTTGAGCATTGTATTTGTATTCATTACAACTCGATGTGTCCGATCCCTTTTCTGGTAGAATAAATGAGAATTATGCATGGAATAACTAAAGCGATGATGGCAGATGCAAGGCGTCGTAGTCGCTAACTGAAGATGACCGCAGGCTGGATTATGACTTACCAACAACGACGTTGGTTCCCGTCACTATTGATCCCTTCCACGATGTTGACATCGATGTAAAGGTAGCAAAAATGACTGCAAGTTTTGCAACCATTGGTGCATCCATAAATGTGTTTCCATTGCTTGCATATCTAAGGGCTCATCAATAATCTTTGCAGCTCTGTTTAGTTACTGAAGATGAAGTACAAATTCTGCGGATGCCCTCACTACGCCGCGACGTGGGTCCCCAAGAAATCCAAAGTAATGTATCAAATTAGCAGACTCTGTAATCATTGATGTCAATTGCCATACACAGAGATACCTGCATGTTGAGATTGCGAGAAGTCCGCGAGCAGGTCCTTACGATATCGGACCCTGAATAACTTTCCCGACTTTTGTTGTACAGAATCAAGCTACATCACAGAACCCAAAAGTGGCATGTCCACAGATCTGTTACAGAGCGTTGACGAGAAGGCCGAAGATACAAAGACGGTGAAGGTGTGAAGCCGCTGAAACTTTTCCTTATTCCAAGAATCACAATGCCGCTACTGAGTTGAATTTTCGTGATGGAGAAGCGTCTCGCGGAGGCTACAAAAGAATGTCTTTGACAGACACTGTAATCTTGTGCAAAGAAGACCGCGGATTTGGACTTACAGTCAGCTTTTTGCTATGCCACTCTACTTGGATTGGATGGATGCTCAGAACGCCAACCGCCAATGCTCGTAACTAAAGTGATTTGCAGGAGGACCAAGCAATAAGGCCATACTGGTGTGACGATCCTGCAGAATGGACGAGCTGAAGCACCCATTGTGACAATCTCTTGAACAATAAGGGTAACAAATAAGTGGACCGCTTGTCTCTTTTTCTATCGAAGACCACTGCGACGGTGATCGCCGATTCGAATACAGTAGTAACTGCTTCTCCAAGCATGCATCAATTCTATGACGACCAGCAAGGTCGTTCTCGGGTTTGAAAGCACACGGCTTCCCTTTTTCTCAGCGTATTCAGTACTGTCAAGGCTGTCATAACGCAGGTGGTCACATGACAGTATTTTGGGAGCTGTCGATGAGGATGAGAGGGTGCATGCGGAAGTTGGTCGATGAAAGATGTGCAAGAATTGCAGGTATCTTCCGCTGCACACATGGCGGAAGCCAGCAATCGAATGGAACGGCGGAACCTAAGCAATTGAAGGGGAGCGAAGGTCGCTTGTTATTCTGCTGAAGCAGAGTCAGGCTACATTGGCTTGGTTGACATGTGAATGGATTCTATGCTTACGATATCATTAATGGCTGCTGGCCAGTAGACTAATGTCACATGCAGCGCCTTACTTTCTAAAGACCTTCTCTGATAATTCTGCAAACCAAACCGACTACAGATGACTTGTAAAGATACTGAAAATGCCAATCGTTCCACCAGTCGCTCGACTGATGTGCTTGTCGTATGTTTAGCATCTTGCTACTCACATCTCAATTCTTGTGTACGACCAATGAGCGAAGCCTGACGACAGATTCTATGGACTGATTGCATATCCACACATGTGCCGGCAATCGATACTTACTGGTCACTCACTCTATATTGAGCACAATCGTGTATCGCACTGCAGACGGAGATGCCAATTTACAGAGTCGTTTCGAGACAATGAATTCGTCATTTCATAGCTTCCGGTAAAAGATCCCGTACGTCAAGTGCACGCTACCTACTACTCGATACTAACGCTTTACAGCGGCACAACACAAACTACAAGGTTCAACTCTTTGCACATTGCTCACGTTAGTACACCCTAGTACGTGCGTCGACTTTTGTCCTTTTCGCTTGATCTCGATCTTTCGACGTCACGACGACAATAACAGCAGCTACCATCTTGCACCATCATACAATAAAGGAAACATCTCTACCAACTAGTCACCTGTACTTCTATGATGCAGGCATTTATTCGATAAAGATGGCAAACATAAAGACCCGTTCACCCTTGTTTTCATGCTACCAAGGAAGCAAAGGGCTGAGAACATGGCTTCAGAATGTCATAACGATAGGCGACATCGCTGCATCGCCTCCCTTTCTATGAGACCATAGCCTTCGAGCATAGGCACAAGCAACGTCATACCACAACGACAGCTGTTGACAGTGACTTTACACTACGGCATGCAGACTTCACTTTACTTCACCCACCGAGACATCCGTACTTAACCGTTTCGCGTCATTTGACTGTCGTCTATCGTCACCGGCGATCTACCAGCAGATTCTTTTTGGTTGCTATGCCGACGGCAAGACTACCTCAGACGCCGTCACGTGGCGTGCGGTCGATTCATGGCAGTACTTTAACGCACTTGCTCGCCAACGTTTACAGCTTGGATTTTTTCTCATCAATTGTCCGTTTTATGAACACGACGTTCGTCCGTCGACTCCCGTCGGAATCTGCATGCGGCTTGTTGACCGCGGCCAATCGTTTGCACGTAAACACACAAGGGGACGATGATCTCTGAAGTAGCACTAATTGCAAGAAGCAGCAGCTCGTCAGAATTAAGGCAGCAATCCTTACTTCCGATTGGCCGTCAAAAGAGTCGCCTGCAGAAAAGCCCAGTGCGCCAAAACGCGAAGCAGCACGAGAGGGGCACGCCTCGGCGGGTGATTAAGTCGATCAGTGCTATCACTGCCCCCACGGATCCACGCGTTTCGAGCGTTTCGAGCGTTCGCACCACCACCACCACCTGGCTAAAATCCTAGCAGCAGTAGTAGTCGGTGTACAGATAAAACCCGGATAAAACCCTCCTTTTTTCGAACAGGTTGCCCTTTTTGCCGACAAGCCAGGCAATCGCTTGCTGGCTGACTGAAGTTTCACTTTGCGTGAGGGAAACCCCTACTCCGGCCGTCCACTTCAAAAAAGCAAGGGAAACGAAGCGTGACGTGACGTGACGAACCAACACCATTCCGCACTGGTCGTCGACGACATCATGGGGAAAGCGCGCACTCTCAGTCGACGACGGGCGGCGAGCACCGCACCCGGCACCGTCGTCACGCCCGTGCCGTCGCTCACGCCCAATGAGCGCGCGTACATGATCCGCAAGGCGAAAGAGGCGTCCGTCGCGCTCGTCGAGCACGCGCACACGCTCGATGGGCCCGTGCAGTGGCACTACACGGGCAAGTTCCGCGGCATCCAAATGTACCGCGGCGAAGGCAGTTACGACCACGGAGGAGGCAGTAGTAGCGGCACGGAGTTCCTATGCGGCGTCACGACCATGATGGGCTCGATCGAGGAAGTGGCCAACTACTTTAACCAGCAGACGACGGAGCAGATGCGGGCGAAGAAGGCCGAAGACGTGCTCGACTGTGGCGTGCTGTACCTGCTCGTGCGCGGGAATCCCAAGAACCCGTTCTACCGCGTCTCGGCCAAGTACCAGCTCTACGAAGGCCCGTCGGCTTTCTCAAGAGAGCGGGACTACTGCTTTCTCGAGTGCCAAAACACGTTCCAACACGCGTCTGGACGCCGCGGGTGGGTGCTCAGCATGCACTCGATCAAGCTCCCGAGCTGTCCAGAAGTCGACGGCGTCGTGCGCGGCAGCATGTACCAAAGTGGCTACGTCTTTGTCGAAGCGGAGAAGAAAGGCTACATGGACGTCATGCACAGCCTGCAGATCAACTTTAAGAGCACGAACCGCTTGCCGCACTTTCTCTTGAATTCCGCGCTCCGGCGGCGCATTCTGTCGGTCGTGACCGTCAGTCGCGAGATCCAGACCACGCGCATGGGGAGACAGACGCTCTTGAAGAAGAAACAGCTCATGCCGAAGCACTCGCGCGTCTTGTGCGTGAACTGCGCCCGCAAGTTCTCGCTGTTTGTGCGGAAAACGCGCTGTCGCATCTGCGGCGAAGTCGTGTGCCAACCGTGTGCTCCGCAGGTCACGCTCTCGACCAAGTGTGGCGTCATCAAGACTCGCGTGTGCACCAAGTGCTACCACTTGTCTCCTAGTGATGACTATAGCGAAGAGGACGCGCTGCGGGAGGAAGGCGAAGACTTGCGACGAATGGAGAACGAGACGCGGTACTCGGATATTCTACAAGACCATCAGGATCATCCGGATAAATACCGTGACCACGACGACGATTATGACGACAGTCTGGACGACGACAAAGACGAGGATGGACTTGAGGAGCAGTCGGACTATAGTGTGTTTGCCCAGTCTCGGTTCACAGACGCGAGTCGCGATTCCGCTGGCACGAGTCAATTTGGTGCGTCGAAATTTGACAGCCACTTTAAGGGGTCTAGTCAGTTCGGTGCTACAAACGAACTTGATGATAGCCAGTTCAACGGTGGTAATACCAGCGTGGACAGCTCGGTCAGTGGCACGAGCACGTCGGACTGGACGGGAGGCAACAGTGCGGTGAGCAGTGTAATGGATTGGAAGCAGGCTAGCAGCACGAGGCCAGGTGATGGCTACATTTACGACCCGCAAGCCTCGACCACGAGTAACAACTTTTACGGAGCAAGCTCTGGTGGGAGCAGTGATTATGAAGCAAGCTATCGCACGCACGAACGGAAGCCGGACAAGCGAGCGGGAAAATACAAAGCAGCTGTGCCTATCCCGGAGAACGAAGCTCATAGTCATCGTGGTGGCTCCGCTACAAGCTACAACTCCAGTACGAAATCTAAGTCGATGCGGCGGTCAAACAATGGGGCAAAGCAAGCCACAATGTATGACGCGAATTGTGATAGCCGCGCGCTCAACGAGAGCCAAACCGGCAAGACTTTGTCGATCCAAAGTCTTGCAAAATCTCGTGCGGCACGGTATGGAATTAAGAGCCAATTTCCGCCCCCGCCTCCTCGCAATCTGCCACTTGAAGAATGCGAGCGCGAAGTAGGTGACAGTCCTTTATACCTCGGAGCGCTAAAGTCGGACAAAATTCACAGCTCAAAGGATCGAAAGGTGCACGGTATTGCTGCGCGCAAGAGTATTGCCCCACCGTCTCCAAAAGAAGGGTGCCGTGAGACGGATCGACTATCCGCAAGACGTGCCCCCAAGATACCCCGGGGCGTGACGTCGAATGCCGCAGTGGCTCGCAGGGGTTCTCAGGCTTCCCGTGCTAGTTCAAGGGGCTCAAAAGGCCATGGTAGCAATCGGTCTTCTGTGATTGTGGAGCAAGTGCGCCGCAACCGCGATCGGGCGCTCCGTTACAATTCGGACATCAATCTGTCTTCGTCGGAGTTGAAGACGATGGAGGAAGAACACTTGGCGAGGATGTGTGAAGTCGAGCGGATGCAAGAACTGTCCCCAGGAAAGGCGGCAAGGCGATTGACGGCACCGGACTGGAGTCGCTTATCTGTGCCATTAGCCCAGAGTGGTGATCGTTGTCATAGCAATCGTTCTAGTACTGCTGTTGCTGGAAGGAAGCAGAAGCAGCCACTTCGCGGTACCCACCGCTATTCCAGTCACACGACTTCTAATTCCCCGATTCAATTGCCGTATGCCTCTCCACCTGGGACCCCTCCTAGTGTGCGAAGCCGTCGCGTGCCTAAGAATGCATTCGTCAACAGTCGAACAAGCGGATCATTTGGTGGTAATCGCTCACGACGTATGGACAATAGCAGCAATTTCGAGGCAAGCCGGATTCTGTCAGACCGATCAAACAATACTTTTGTAAAGTCTGATCATGCGCGCGTTAGTCTCGCACCATCTGCGCGTAGCGAAGATCTTGTATTTAACACTCAGCGGTCTGGGTTACGTGTTAGCAAAAGTAGCGACTCGTCCTTCAGTGACCGGCGGGTGGACGGCTCGCAGGGTTCAAGCGACACTTCATATCGTGATCGACGATCGGACGCTTCAAGTGTCTCGACTGTTTCCGACGTCAGGCACCCGGGTGGGTTTTCGCTCGATGCGTCGCAGGTATCAGATGATGCAAAATTCTCCAGCAGCATTGCAATCCTGGAGCCAACCGTCAAGTCATCGGATCGTGTCGCAATGATGGAGAGCTTTAGTGCCGAACGCCACTCTCTTGATTCGCTGTTAGACGAGGATTTGCTGAATCAATCGTTGGCAGGCATGACTGAGCATATTTATTCGATGCGAGCTCGCGCAGCGTACAAGCTACCAGATGAGGAACGCTGTTTATCCGACGACTTGCAACGACTACAAGAGGAGCACAAGAAGCGAATGGAGGAGCTGACTAAAATGACGGACAACCACATCATCGCAGACACTGTCCGGGATAGCACATCCACTTTTGGTGGCCTTCACGATAGCACGTCCACTCTTGGTGGACTCCACGACAGCTCAGTTAGCCTAACGGACTACTCTGGAAACTACTTTGGTGGCAGCGCCATGAGTTCTGCCAGTTCTACTAGCTCTGTCGACATTGATGATGAAACATTCGATTTCGGATCTCGACCGTTTGGACGGTCAAAGCGTAGCGGTACTATTGCTTTCGCTTTGGAAGAAATGGGAAGTGTGAAAGATGACGACGGGGAAAGCGATGATCCCGAAGCGTCTTATTATTCAGGTCAAGAGCATGGAGAGCAAGACTGCAGAAGCGAGGGGGAGTCTGGGTACCACTCGAGCGAAGAATTTGATGTACGGACGGAAGAACATATGCTGTCCGCGCGTCGCTATAGCGAAGAGTTGGACACGAATAATCATGAAGACGAGGGTGAGTCTATCAGCATGTCACATCGTTTCAGCAGACAGTCTGAAGAACACAAGACTAGACTGGAGTCTGGAATTCCCACTCCTCCACGTCGCATAAGTGCGGAATCTACTGAGCGTGGGTACGAACAAGTGAATGGTTTAGCCACCCCGCTAGGCTGCTCCACTGCAAATTCTGTGGAGAGTGTGTCTGAACGACTTAGTGATCCTGCCTTCCATCCAAGTGGAGGAATACATCAGCAGAATTCTGGTATAATTGCTCCGTCTGATAGCTCGCGCGTGGAGTCTGCTGAGAGCACGCATGACCAGAACGCTGGTTTGCGTACACCTCCCCGCCGTTCTAGCGTGGGGTCAGCAGAGAGCATGGACGAAAATACGAACATCCTAGTCACCTTGCCTCGCCGCTCCAGTGTAGATTCTGGAGGCCAGAGCGGTCATGAACTGAAAAACGGCTCTGCTATTCAGCCACACCATTACAGTGTGGAATCGTCGGAGAATGGGTGTGAACGCACAGGTGACGTTGCCTATTCATTGTCGCGCTGGTCAAGCGCGGAGTCTGTGGAAAGTGAGCACGAACAAAGTACCGGCATCGCTACTCCACCGCACCGGCTGAGCGTGGAATCTGTGGAAAGCGAACACGACCTTAGCACAGGTATCACTACACCACCGCACTGGCTGAGCGTGGAGTCTGTGAAATGTGAGCACGAACAAAGCACAGGCATCGCTACCCCGCCGCGTAGGCTGAGTGTGGAGTCTGTGGAAAGTGAGCCCGAACAAAGTACAGGGCTTGCTACCCCGCTGCATAGGCTGAGCGTGGAGTCGGTGGAAAGTGAAGATGACGAAAGCACCGGCATCGCTACTCCGTCGTGTAGGCTGAGCGTGGAGTCTGTGGAAAGTGAGCACGAACAAAGCACAGACATCGCTAACCCGCCGCGCCAGCTCAGCTCAGAATTTGCGGAATGTGATCATGATTTAAGTACAGGCATCGCTACTCCGCCGCGCCGGCTGAGCGTGGAATCTGTGGAAAGCGAACACGACCTTAGCACAGGCATCGCTACTCCACCGCACCGGCTGAGCGTGGAGTCTGTGAAATGTGAGCGCGAACAAAGCACAGGCATCGCTACCCCGCCGCGTAGGCTGAGCGTGGAGTCTGTGGAAAGCGAGCACGAACAAAGCACAGACATCGCTGACCCGCCGCGCCAGCTCAGCTCAGAATTTGCGGAAAGTGAGCATGATCTTAGTACAGGCATCGCTACTCCGCCGCGTAGGCTGAGCGTGGAGTCTGTGGTAAGTGAGCACGAACAAAGTACAGGGCTTGCTACACTGCCGCATTTGCCAAGATCGGAGTCTATGGAACGTGAGCACGAAGAAAGCACAGGCATTGCTACTCCACTGCGCCGGTCAAGCGTGGAATCTGTGGAGAGCGAGCACGAGCAAAACATGGGTATTGCTACCCCGCCGCGCCGTTCAAGTGCGATGTCTCTGGAGCATGATAACGACTATACGAGCGGCCTAGCCACTCCACAACGCCGTCAAAGCACAGAGCCTGTTGGGAGCGAGCATGAATGCGCGAGCGATTTAGTCACTTCACCACGCCGTCAGAGCGTTCAGTCAGCAGAGAGCGAATACGGACGTAATAACAGTTCAGACGACGCTGGGTCATCGCGCAGCTCCAGCGAAGAAAACGATGAAGGCCAGGATGAGACCGTTACGCGCGAAAGTGATCATGAGGATGCCCGGCTTGCGTACCAGTCGAGTGAAGAGCCCCTGAACCAACAGGGTGACTTGGAATACATTGAATCAGCCTACCGCTCGAGCAACGGGTCCATACCCGAGCACGCTTGCACAACGCCAAAAAGCATGAGTGAGGAGTCAGTTGCATTCGAGAGAAGAGATTCGAAATCCGATCCTGACAGCTCGCAGCTTATATTAAGCTCGGCCGTTGACGAGTTTAATGCTGACATGCCAAATGTCATGTCGGATAGCGATGATTCCGAGGACGGAAATGATCAAGAGGACACCCATTCTCCTCATACCACACCCACTGTTTACTTGGAACAACCGCAGCTGGTCTCAAACGTCGAAAATGGGGACGGCGACCACGTAAAGCTGTCATTGTTCGAGACGTCAATCTCGAACGGGACATGCGGTCCAGATGTGCCGGAGCATGTACTAAGCTCTTTCCGCGAGTCCTGCGTGTCGGTGATTGACGAAGAGCTAATGAATCGCCCAACTATTGAGCTTTTCGATGTGGTCCGTGCGAATCGTTCGACGCACGTCATAGACGGAAACCGCTCTCCGGACACGATGTCCAGTCTTGAGGCGAGCCATTTGCGGCGGATGGAAGAGCTCAATCAGATTGCAGTTGACCACTTGGGCAACCGCATTTCCGATCTTGATGAAGGCTTGCTCGGTAGCGCGTTTCGACCGGGCCGATCACTGTATCCTGAATTCCGAGATGAGGATAGAGAGATGCAGTGGCGCTCGTCCGATGTCATGGAGCAAGTTCACAATAAGCACGAGATTGACATGGAGAAACTACGTCGTAGGATCCGGCGGCTCGAGGAGGAATGCCGCGAGTCGATTGCGTCCGTGTTGACCGCTGAGGAAATGGATCTATCCGAGTTTGACGATGATGATGGTGCTTTCAACGGACTGCAGAGCTTCCATGGCCACCAGAGCTTTAGCATTGGCAGGAGCTTCAGTCACCAGGCGTCCTTCGCGTCCGGTAAATCGTCTACCATTTCGGAAGATGGCGATATGGATACGTTGATCGAGACGGACGAGCCATTGCCCGCTCGGGTTCTTTTTGAGCAGATCGCCCAGCTGACTCGTTTACAGCAAGAGATGGCTGAAGCCGAGAACGATGAGGATGAAGAAGAAAGTCGCGCGCGCATCAAGGAACAGTACCGTGTGCTGCGTGCAATTAAGGCGAACAGGCGCCAGGATAGCGGGTCACTGAGCGAAGACGATGAGAACTGGATTTAGCAAGGGTCTGATACGTTAGCCGAGTAGAGTAGCATTGCGCGCTCTAGCATGTGTATTCGTGGATTGCAACTACTATGTCTGCATCAGCTTTAAAATCTACTTGCCGTTTGAGTTTCGGTAGTCCCCAATCGCACAATTCGACATGGGTAGCTTTTTTTCCACAAGTACGCAGCTTGTACGTTTACTGCTAGGCCAGTGCGGCGGTGGCCACCACTATCGTCGCAAGAAAACCCGCGCTGGACTCTGTACATGAAGGCATCGGGAAAAAGTCAAGTGGTTGTTCGTGCGCCACATGTAGTTGAGGCTGTTTTCAAGGAAGCAGCCGACGCTTTGGACCGGCGTAAACACGAGCCCTTTGCACTCGGAGATAATCAGGAATCCCGTTTGTCCTCGTTCCTACATCAGAAAAGAGCGCCGTTCCAGTAAACCAGGCGTCAGTATCCAGCTGGTGAGCCGAGCTTGTCATCGACACTAGCGAATTACTTCCGACGCAAGCTGTTGCTCCTTTGATTTGCTCGGACAACACAAGGCAAGACTGGACGACAACAACCGGTGAGGCTTGTCAAGACTTATTCTCCAAATTAATACGTATCGTTGTGGCTGCTCTAGAGTTGGTAACGACACTAAACATGGTGGCAGCCCTTGTCTCGGACCAAGAGCGACTGGACCTCATTGAACAGAGCGGCGACGTTTTTGCCAAGACGCAAGAATGGCTCGAGAATGCCAAGGCGTCACGCACTTCGCCCGAGACCAAGGACAACTTGATAACATCGCTGGAAACTTTCACCGTCTACGGGTCGCTGGACGCCGTCACGGATTTGTACCTGAAGGACGACATGAAGATGGCACTGGACTTTTCCAAGTCGCGCGAGCTTGCAGTGCTCAGGTCTCCTACAAAGCAGCGGCCACTTGACCGCGTGAGTCTTCGGTGGTCGCTTCTACACTCACCAAGTCAGTTCTTCGCCATTGCCCAAGACTTTTGCTACCTGGAGGTCACGATGCCGTTTGAAACAACAGACGGACGTCGAGGCTGGGCGAGGTGCTTGCACTCGGTCAAACACAAGGCATGTCCGACATTTCGAAAGTCGTGCGGGAGCGATGTACATCGAGCTGAACTGTTGTACTCTGGACTGTTCTTCGAGGAGACGCGTGAGCTGGGAGTGCTGAAAGCTACAGTGTGCTACAACATCAAGCGAGATCACGTGACACCTGCAATGGTCCAAAGGTTGCTGAAAACGCAGTCAAAACGGACTGTCGAGCTGTTGAATCACTACCGCAAGATGTCGACGATGATGCTCAAGTCGAGGAAAGTCTCGCTCACGAGGGCACTACAGCTGCACGCTGAGAGACGCTGTGGCGCCTGTGCGAACCAGCTATCGAAGTGGAAACCCAAGGAACGATGCAGTTTATGTAGATCGGTACGTCGCGCATGAGGTCAACTACGTGGGGTTACAAGCATTGGGACTTATCTGTGTCATGAGCGTGCAGTTGATATGCGATAAATGCAACGACATCGTGGCGCTTAACTACAGGGTCGATCGGGTCAGTCAAGGACGCGTTGCATGCTTTGCTTGCGCACACCGCCATGGTACACTGACTGCTATGGTGACGAAGACTCGATCCATTGACCGGGAAGCAAAAAGGGACGGCAGCACGTCTGCTGATACGACATGCGAGAGGATGAAAGCCTACCAAGAAGACGGATTACAAGACGACAGTATCTCGTTACTCAGTAACGAGGAGACCGTTCAATCGAGATGGTGTGACGGTAACGGTAACCTGATGCTCGCAATTGCTCCGAACGGCTCTTCGCAGCAACATCCTGAGCAACTGAACCAACGCCAGCCAAAGTTGTTTTGCGACTCAAGCTGTACGATCTCGGAGATTGATTGCAGCGATCGTGACCGTCTTACATGCTAACGTTTTGCTATCGTGTGCAGTCCTCGCGCGAGAGACGTTGTACTTGCCAAAGGATCACGCGACATCACAACAACGACGACGTTGTACGACTCGAGTGTCAAGTCGTCGGCCAGTCGACCGACTGGACGAAGACTTGATTGCACGTGGCCGTAGAAGAACGACGGGTAACTCGAGACTATCCACCGTGGCAAAGCCCACGGCTTACGAGTCCTCGCGACACAAGGTATCACCGGCGGGGCAGCAGAGCAAGTCGAGTACCCATGTGAACTTCACTTGGGTGCGTTGCTAAGTCGGCTTTTGTCGTAGGGAATCGAGCAAGTGCATGCAAAGCTTTACGACTGACGCTGTTTCGATTCGACCTCTGCAGTTTGTCGATCAAGGATTACAGGCTGCCACGCGCTGGAACAGCGTAGATGGTGCATGCCAATACGACTCGTACCGCCAGTCCAGCAGCAAGTCCTTCCTGCTGTCAAGCCAAGTCGTTCTTCATCACCAACGAGCACAAGTCATTCGCGATGATCTCCGACGAGGTCCACGAAGACAAGACTCTTGTGACTTTTTCTCCATGGCCAACTTCAAGTAGATGATACAGCTGATCAAGCCGAGCCGAGCAGCTCTTTTATCGGAGAAGAAGCAGAGCAGAAGGACGTTAACTTGAAGGTACATGTTCTGAATTCCGCCAAAGCAGATTGCAGAGGAGGCGACTGCATCTGTTGTTCATGCCTTCGGTGGATCAGAACAATCGGAGCGGCTGGTGGCAAGCGGATGTTGACAGAGAAAAACGTCTCAGCTCAGGGAACCGGAACTATGTCACGTGAGACAACCTGGTTTGTCGGCTGTGACTACCGATCTATCGGATACCCTCCCTACCCATCGAAACAGCAGCAGCAGTCGAGTGGACATGACGAAGCGACCTGACCCGACCACCACCATCATCATCGTCGTCATCCTCCTGTCTTGTTGGAAAAAGCTGAGGCGCTCTTCATGAGCAGAGCGATCTCAATGAACTCCCCCGAATCAAGCAAACAGTCAGCTTTCATGCCCCATCTCCAGCGCAGAGCCCACCAGTGTCACGTCGACACGAGTCCACTACCAGCTGAAATCCAGACTTCAACACGGTTCCACGAGCAGAAGAGCGTTGTCGATGGTGTTGACGTTGTTGTTGTTGTTGTTGTTGTTGATCATGATCTCCGCGCCATCGTCGCGCGTCAGAGAAAGAGGATGAAGCGCCACGTTTGCAACCGCTGCTCCCCGGTCTTTGTTCGAATGGAAGGACAGACGAAGCAGCTCTTTTCGTGCCCATCGGCGGTCCAGCTCCGCTACCGACATGCACTAGGGGAGCGACGAGAGGTCCTTTTTTTCCAAGTCGGCTGCACGTTCCACGCGCTTGCTCGTGCTTTTTTGGGCGCAACCGGATGGATAGCCACGGTCTTTGACGATCGACATTACTGCATTAAGGAACCGGAACACTTGCGAAGACACGGGACGGCGCCGGTTTCCCAGACCAGTTGGTAGCTGCTCGGAAGTCCCAGGGTCCGGTGTTTTTTTTCGGGTGTCGGTCGGACGTCACGCTAGACGCGTCATTCGGGTATTTATCCTGTTGCCACTGCTATAGAAAAGAGCATGTCCACAGGCAGGAGCTCCACGTCGGCGCGATGTGCATTCTGCGGAGCTGTACGTTGAGTGGTTCTGCCTTGTTCGTCCGTCTCGCTTGGTTATCACTCACTCAATGCACTCTGATGAACTGATGTGATTTGTCGCTGTTGGATGGTCATTGTGCTGCCTAGAACGTCAGCAATGCGTCTGCACGGATTCTCGTGGCGTTCGCGGCCCCGAGTGAGAACCATCAAGAGACTTCTTGTGCTGCAATCAAGCCGTTGAAATGGCGGTTCTTGTCGAACAAAGGCCCGTGCACGAAGCTCATGTGCCTCGCGTGTGCGCAGAAGCGAAAAGTGAATTTAAAGGCGGATTACCAGCACCACCAAGTGCCTGTGACTGTGGAGTCGTGGGATCCTGAGGGCGCAAGGAATATTGACCGACTACCAAAGGCTCTTCCGCGTGACGAGGTGAAGACTGCGACCGGGCACAAGGCGATGAAAGTGGAGATTCGAGAGCCGTGGCATCAGCCACAGCATCGTCATCACTGCGTGCTGCAGAGTACCCCGGTACAGCTTCACAGGCACGAGAAGCATGATCAAGCGCTACGACGGGAGCGGATTCATAGCCAGCAAAACATGTGTGAACAATCAACAATCAACGGCAGACGACGAAGAGCGACGCATGTGTCCGACTTCCAGCTCGAAGGGAGTCGTCAGGGCAGTGCACTGCAATCGTTTGCAAATGATCGTGCAGCCAGAAAGTCGATGACGCAGACTTGGCCTTCGAGTCCAGTGGAAGTCAGGAGTCACCCTTCTGATACTCATCGACGGACTTCAGTCGAGAGCGTGACTTCCCGTCCACGAAAGTCCATGACGCAGCCTTGGCTTTCAAGTCCGGTTCCAGAGAGGAACTTAGCTTCTGTCACTCAGCGACGAGCCTCGGTCGAGAGTGCAACACCTCGTCTACGGAAGTCAAGCAGTGGTCCGTCTGGGCCTCTTAAGGCGGACAAGAAGGGTCGGAGGCTCAACTCGACAGCCGATATCCTCGGTATGTCCCAGTCGCTTGACTTACCGCCTAATTATTTCGAGATGAGCTCGTCGTCGCCCAAGGTTTACGCAGACAAATTGACGGACAAAGACCCTCTCGATTGGGTGCGCGTCGACCTGGACGATCCCCAAATGGAGCTTCCGAAGCAACGCGAAGGCGATGAAGAGCGGCACCGACGACAAAGTGCGTCGTACGCCCATATGCTCTTGCGGATGCGTCTGCACTACAATACGGTGCAAGCCAATGGAAGGCACGCTCGTCCTGCTTCAGCTCCACCACGACGGATTCGATCGGAGCGAGTGCAATCGGTTGCTGTCCGCCACGTCCGAAGCGACACTATAACGCGAGCGTCGGCTAACTTTGCTATTGATCTCGGCTACCTGCATGCATACAAAGACGCGCGATAGAGCCATCGAGCAAGCGGTTGGCACTCATTGTGCAGTTGATGCTGCTACAGTAGAAGGAAAGACGAAAGTGATCGCTTGGACATCGGCCCGAGGAGCGTGACGAGGTCTCTCCTTATTGCAGGTATGCCATAATTCAGCTCCTTTCGTGGCCTCAACGGTACAAATGAAGTCAACTGGTCCTCTACATGCTCTGCTATGTTTACTGCAACGATACCTCGATCTATTTTCCACGAACGGAAGTTGTACGATCGTGTCGTGTCTCGTCGTGACAAATGGGCCCGCTGAAGCAGGAGAAATCAACATTCGGGCCGCGTTCGACAGCAGCAGCTGGTTTTTTCTTCGAAACTTGTAGTCAAATTGTTCGTACGGTGTCGTCAAATTCGATGCGTATACCTGATAGGTATAAAGGCGGTCGAGGAGGACTTGAGCTCACAGTGTAGCTACTAGCTTTTTTGCACTGTACGATGATTATAAAACGTGAACCAGCTTTTGTACGAGGACGATCGATCAATTGATCGATCGATCGAACGTAGTACCCCTAATAAGGGCATCGACCAGTAGCCTCGCCAGCTGCAATGCAGGAAAGCTCGCTTTAAACACGCTGATCACGAACGTGTTTCCCAGCAATTGTTTATGCATCGCTCAGATTCCGACTCTCGTCGTCCCTTCAACAAATTTATCAAGCAACAGCAGCTTTTTACACGCATTTTTTCGTAAATCAGGCCTACAAGCTGCTGCATTCGCCGTCTGGTCGTACAGAAAGTCAGCTGCTCGGACCGTATCGCGTCGGCCATAAATAAACACCCCCAAGGGCCATCCGTCCCTCGACCGACCGACGAACCAACCGACACCCCTTCCGTTCTCCCCCTATTCAGTCACTTGTACTACGAAGAAGAACAAACGAGAACTCTCTTTTTGGACTCCACTCGACCCTCACAATAGCTTTTCGCCTCGGCTTACTATGGTAAATTGTAAAGGACAAATGCGGTCCCCTCGAAACTCCGTGACTCAGGAGCTCTGTTGCTACTGCCGAATGGTTCGTCCCCGTCTCATTCAAATAGTTCTAGTGCACGCAATTCCGTTTGCACTACTAACAACATCCGGATCTCTCTCTTTGTGCTGCTTCTGCATTATTAGCACGTCTGTGACGAATGTTTCCAGATCGCCATGACCCGGAGCTCCACACGCCCGATAAAGATCGAGGCCCCACGTCGCCACCAACACGCGTGCTTGTCGTGTGTTCGGTTGCGCCCTGAAGCAGCAAAACTGCACGCTGCCCCTTCATCCCGTCAACAGCAGCTGCATCGTCAGCGTCTCCTTGATTGGGATCGCGCCTCGAAGCTGTTTGTGTCGACGGAGACACTAGATCCGATGAATCAATACGGGGCAACTGGTTCTAATAGAACGAGGCAAACACCAGGAGAAGTTGAAGATACTGTTGAACGTCGCCATCGTCGGCACACTGTGGCTAGTGGTCCACACTTGGGGTTAATGAATGATCCTATGAAACCAAATTTGAAGCCAGCGAAGGCTCAACCGCAGCCCGGTGCTAATGCTATGCAAGTTCATGAGCCTGCTCGAAAACAGGCTCATGGGGCTGTACTATATACTGTGAAAAGACCGGACCAGCCAGCAGCAGCTCGAACGTCGGACTCGTGTTTTATCAAACGATCGACTTCACGAGTGGCGGCGCGTAACGAAGTCGAGAAGCTAATGAGCTCAGATCGATGTGACGTCTCCGGGTCGTTTTTGTGTGATTTTACGGGTGCCGAGCCTGTTATGACAGCGTCGGATGAAATGCAAGAGATGAAGCAGTTGACGGGGCGAGCCAAGGCTTCGAAGAATGTACCACCTGTGCAGGTAACACGAGGACGACGCTTTTCGGTGGATGGCCGGTGTAAAAGTGCGGTTCCTTCTGTTTCTTCTGGACACGTTGGTGCTATTGATACGGAACTTGCATTGGTTCAACCGCGCTACGATTTTTCGGTGAAGAAAGTTAAGCAGCAGTCGCATCAGCCAAAGACTCTGGAAAGTGATTCGAGTGCAGACAAAAACACGAGCGAGAAGCATCATGCTCAACTGATTGACTGTTTGACTGTGAACCATCGATCGGGACATCGTCGACATACTATGACTGCTGCGTCGATCAAGAACTTGATACCCCGGCACCGACATGAGAACCGAGCGGATGTGATTGACGAGGTTGGCAGTGGGGAGCATGATCGACCACAGCACACGAAAAAGGCCGAGTTTGCTGACTTTCATTTGTGTGCGTCCAAGCTGATGCCGCCAGAATCAACGCATGGACTCAAGTCTACGTCAAATGTTGCCAGGTATGAATCGCAGTGGCAAGAAGGAAAAGAATGACAGGGCAAAACCTGTTGTAGTCACACGAGAAGTACGTGGATCCAGTCGATCCAAGAACGAACTGTGCGACTTGGCGTATCTGGATGTGTTTAAGACATACACCTTGTAAAAATGGTACTGCTTGCAAGTCGGGAAAAGTTCAGATGTACCAAGCGCGACTTCGCAGATCTGTCAGCGTATCTTGTCCGTAGTACATGTCAAAGGTCATGATCTCAAAGAATTAGTGATTGGAATTGTCCGCTACCTCGATAGCATGTATGAAGCGAACTGGACTATACAACTATGTGGTGGTGAGAATATTATATACATAATTGGGAATGTCTTTTCACATTCGGTAGTATTCAGCTGTACATCGGCGACAGAGAGCACTGCGAATTTACTGGTGCTCTCCCTAGTCCCATCAATTGTACGACTTTGCTATTTACGAACACAGTTTTCTGATCATCACGTGATATCGATGGATTTATGACAAGAGGAAAGTATGCTTTGATTTTTTACCGACTTCGGCTTGTCATCTGTATTTCGCCACCATTATAAATTGTTCTCTTGCCTTCGCATGTGTCTGACTGCAGTTGTCATACCATCGGTCAGTATACGCAGATCGTATGAGCTCTACTACCTCTCGCTAACCATTATCTAGCTTCACTGTTTTGGTCAATGGAATGGAATAGTGTCCATTGTTTACATGCCCAGCATAACGTAACCGCTTGGATCGGTCGCTGTAACGGGGTAGCCCGTTACATAAAAATGGCACTAATCGGTGTCGATAGGATTATTGTCTAGCATGACAATATTCTACCAGTGTTACCCGAGATGTGTAATATTGAAGGAATATTATCCTCTTTTGGATAATATTCATGCGCTGCTCCAAGATTGGTTGATATAGGACATATCAACCATAGATTGCCACCAATTGCTGCTAGACGCGCGCAATGAGTGGTGAGCAGGTTGTCGTCATACGACGGCGAAGTTTAACATAGTTAGATAAAGATTAAAGTTATATTGATAGCTTAACTATATAAAAAACAAGTCTATTTTTACCCTTTACTCAGCCTAGTTGTTGAGTAGATAAGCTTCCTCTGCACGTACTAGTGTACGTGAAGTTTCGCGGCACCCCAAACAAAGGGTGCCCCGTTACACCTTGTAGCACTTTGTAGTCCGTCCAACGACTACTTAGTGTCCGTCAAACATGTTCATGTTGGACGTAGAAGACGACAGCTTTCATGTCACACGTGAAGGCTACTCCCATCTGAGTGACTCAGAATGGGAGGTAGTTGGTCGCATGAGTGTGCTCATGGGCGAACCCGCCATCAGTGGTATGTTGGAGTCTCTAAGTAGAGACCAGCAACATGCTGCTATCAACAAGTTCCTACAAGGGGAACTTGCCGTCGAACGACAGAAGATAGCCTTGCTACAGCAGCAAGGCTCTCATCAGTCGATGGGCGGGCCGACACACATGCGTCGAACCAAAATCTTGAAGATTGATATCTCAAGGTACAAAGGAACTGATGGAAATTCCCTTTTGAGATGGTTCGTCGATTTAGACGATGCCATCAGGGCCCGTCACATCGAGGGCGACGAAATGCAAGTCACCTTCGCCCTGTCAAATTTGACAGGACGAGCAAAGACTCGGGCAATAGGGCTCAAGCTTCACGACCTATACATTTTTGAGTCGTTGAAGATCTTGAAGTCTCGGCTCAAAGAGACGTTTGAGCCGCCTAGAGCCGAGTTCAAAGCATGCTCTGCACTCTTGAGGCCAAAGCAAGGTAAGCGTGACGTGCACGCTTACGCACAGCACCTGCGCTACCTTGCGAGTAGCGTCACGGAGAACCCTGTTGATGAGCATACGCTCATCAACGTGTTCATCTACAGCCTTGTGGATGGGCAGGTGAAGACCTACCTGTTCCGAGAGGATTTCCATACGCTGTAAAAGGCGATAGCGTATGCGGAACAAGAAGACGTCAGCCTGTGACAGTCTCAGGCTATCTCGTCAAACTATCGTCCGACGAGACGACAGGAAAAAAGTGGACCGAAGCCTATGGACCTCTGTTACATCGAGAGCGAGAACTCTTGCTCTCTGAGTCACAAGCGAACGGCAAGATGCCACCGCTGTCAGAAGATTGGACACTACGCTCATGAGTGTAGTGTCCCGAGCACTGCGACACGTCCGAAAACAGGACGTGATGACCGCCGTTGGCCAAGGAAGGGTCCGAGGCGTGGGTCCGACCATGTCGCCAAGCCGCGACAGCAAGTCGGACCGTCAAAAAAAACGGTCAGGGTCAGTAGGAGCGGAGCACCCTGCTGATCCAGCAACGTCAAGAGAATTTGCAGGACTCTTGACGAAGATTGCTCCCAACACGCAGTCTCTGTGTGTTACTGCCCTTAGTGATGAGGAGTCCCTTATCACTTTGGAGATATGAGTGACAAGTGGAATGTCACTTCGCGCCCTAGTTGACTGTGGGGCGTCGAGCAGTTTTATTCGTCGCCAGTATCTAGAGGATAGTAGACCCAACTACGCTAAGCGAATGTTCCCTCCAACGAGGATGACAATGTGCCTTGCTACAGGCGCATCCGCAACAGTGGACAAACGTGTAGTGGGAATCCACTACACGCTAGAAGGAAAGCAGTACGATGATGAATTCATCGCATTAGATTTCGATGACAAATTTGATGTCATCCTTGGTCTGCCATGGCTTAGAAAGTACCGGTCATGGGTTAGCTGGCAGAATCGATCCGTGAAGATACCTGCCGTTTGTTCATCGGTTGGCCTTCTGATGAACCTCTTGGAGCGTCCACAAGCGTGTGGATGTACTACGAGTAAGTGCGATGGCCTCACTTGTGGTACGGTCGCTAGTAAGATTGCACAAGATCACAGTGTAGAAGGCAACTGCACTGTGGAACCAGCTTCCGGCACCTGTGTAGAGATACAGGCTGTGCCGAAGGTTCACCACTCGACGAAATAAAGTGGACTGGAACACGGATGCACACCAAGAAGGGTGCATCCGAGAAGAGAGACTAGAGTTGTTTAGGATGGACAATACGTTGAAGCGAGATCGACTATCAGATATTCTATCGTAAAGCAAGCCCGATCGACTGAATGAGAGTCGATTGAAGAAGACGTAACCGTGATAGTACACGTAATAGAAGAAACATCCGGCGTTCCTGAGAGCAATAACTCCCGAGAGAGTTGACTTGAGGGTGTGGATCCCGAACCACCTGCGGATGCGTTTTCCCAGGAAATTACCGAGACAGTGAATGTCTTGGTGAATGACGGATCAAGTGTAGGTGCTTCTACACTTGATCTGGTGACGCCCCTGAAGTCAGCTTCGGAGGTGGTCAAGTTGCCAACGCTAGAATCTAAAATATTCTTGCGAGGTCTTCGTAGTGACAACATCAAGCAGATCTGCGTACTCGCCACAGAGGACGATTCCGTCGCCGATATTCGGTCGGCACAAGTGTTTGCTGAGAACGAACGGGTTCTCAGTAGCTCATCGATGGACGAGAGTGACCTCGATGAGAAGACTCGGATTGAGCGATACACGTCTCAATCTTGGGAGTCATCAAAGACAAATAGTTTCTTTTTAGCTCGCATGGCACGGATTCCGGGAAAACATCTTTGAATGCATCTCCACACATCTCTCCGACCTTATGTGTGCGAAAGGCCACAGGAGGGTGGCGGATAGTGCACGCGTTCAACAAACTGAACGCTGCAACGGTACCGGCTCAAATGCCGATACCGAGGAAGGACGTCATCATAGATGGTATGGCAAAAAGCACCATCTTGTCGTCCATGGATCTGATGGATGGATTATATCAGATCCTCATGCATGAACGGGACATCCCGTACACAGCAGTAGGAGCACCCCTAGTGGTATGCTCTGGGAGTGGCTAGTGATGCCACAGGGGCTAAGTAACGCCCCCGCAACGCTTAACAGATTTTTACGTATTTTGAAGTATAGCCAAGTGGTAAGGCCTCCGTTTTTGGTACACGTTGGTCTTTATTAATATAATCTATGGCACAAATTTCCTATAATAATTTAAATTACTATTTGTGTGTTACAAACCTGTTGCGATCGGTGTGCGATTTCGCACCGAGTTACTTCGACGATGTCTTCGTCTATAGCCGGGCTATAGATGGAAAGACGGACGTGGAGGTTCATGGAATCCACGTCCGAAAGGTTCTTAATCTAATGCGAGAGCATAAGTTGTTCGCGGACATCAAGAAGTGTATATTCGCAGCGAACGAAATACCACTTCTTGGCTGCATCGTGGGTAAAAACGGTGTACGCCTTGATCCAGAAAAGATCAAAGCAATTAGCGACTGGCCTGTGCCAGTCGACGTCAAGGGACTTCGAAGGTTCCTTGGCTTCGCAGCGTACTTGCACAAGTACTCGTGCAACTACGCCGAGATGACCGTACATCTCTCTCGTCTGGAGAAGAAAAACGAGGGGTGTCATGAAGCGCTGAGTGTCAGCACTCTTTTGAAGGCATCAAGAAATCTTGATACAATCGCTTGTGTTGGTGATTGCGAACCAAAACAGAAAATTCATGTGGTCTGTGACGCCAGCGATTTTGCAATCGGCTGCGCGTCAATGTAGTACGACTCAGACGGCGTTAAGAGCGTCGTCTTTCATCATTCGCGTCAGCTGCAAGCAGCTGAGCGAAATTATTTGGTGTATGACAAGGAATTCCTTGCCATGCGATATTCACTGGCCAAGTTTCGGGTATATCTCTTAGGAGATAGGCCCTTCATCGTTTATACAGACCACGCTTCGTTAAGCACGGCTGTAAACAGTCCACAACACTCGCAGCGGATAACGAGGTGGCTGTCTTTCTTCGTGGAGTACAACTTCTCCGTCGAGTATAAACCAGGACAACTTGATGTCGTCGCTGATGCTCTTTTGCGTCGGCCCGATTTCGAGCCGACTGCTCAACCCAACAATAGGGATGATCCCACTGTCGCGACACTAACAGTGAGTATTCCGTCGTCGAATCTGCTGGACGATGTGCAAAAAGCATACGCAAAAATAGAGTCTCTTCTGCGATTGATATTTTACCATTTTCAAATTTTTACTTTTAGTATGTTTCTAATCCATGCAGTAAAGCTTTGAAAAGCTTGTCGTCTTAATATCGCTCTTCAACCGACCGGTATTCTGTTCGTGATGGACTGCTTTACTATGCAGAAGTCAAAGGCGACACACCTCGTGTCGTCGTTCCCGCTCATGATTATTAGCGATGCGCATCATGTCTGAGCGTCACGATGCTCCGACAAGTGGGCATCGCGGTAGAAAAGACTTACCTCACGGTGAGTCGTGTCTTCTACTGGCCCCGCCCTTATAAGTTTGTGCGCATATACATTCGCGCTTGCGAAGTTTGTCAACGGGTGAAGCATAGTCCTTCATCCCGCGCACCCTTGCAGCCTCTACCGATTCCGGCAAAGTGTTGGTATTCCGTATCGATGGACTTCGTCTTTGAATTTCCCAACGAATTTCATAAGAATACGAATATTCTTGTGTTTGTTGATCGGTTCAGCAAGATGTTACATCTTGTTGCTGTACCGGAGTCAATTACAGCCCCGGGCTGTGCGCGTTTATTAATCGATACTATCTTCCGACTTCACGGGTTACTCCGTGAACTCGTGTCCGATAAAGATCCCCGCTTTACGGCGGAGTTCTGGCAATCCGTGTTCCGTTCACTTGGAACACGTTTAACGATGTCAACTTCTGACCATCCCGAAACAGATGGTCAGAAGGAACGCGTCAACCGCGTCCTCGAAGAGATACTTCGAGGGTATTTCCACTTGTTTACGAGCTGAAGTGAGCTCTTGCCGATGGCGGAATTCGCCATCAACAACTCGGTGCACGCGTCGACAACGCATAAACCGCTCTTCGTGAATGGCCTACGCCATCCACGTTTACCTGCCTTCTTAAAATGTGACTCTAATCTAAGGGGGGGTGGACTCGCTCGAACAAAAACCGATCTGGTTTTTGCTCATCACCCGTCGACAATGGTGTCGACGTGATGGATGCCGATGTCGATGCGATCGATATCGATGAAGATGATGACGACGATGCTGGCATATTCAGCAACGCCAATGACCGCCAAATTGAGGAAGATGAAACCCTCACTGATGAAGACAACGTTCTTTTAGCAGTGCACACGAAGCGCACTGCTGTTGACAAGGATGAATCAGTAGAGGATTTCCTTCTGACTCGCGAAGCGGCTGTACGTTTCGTTCAAGACTCTATTGCAGATGCACTAGACGGACAGAAGAGAAACGCGGACAAACATGGAAGATCAAATGTTCTTCTAGTTGATGAAGGAGACCTTGTTTTACTGTCTACAGAAGATCTAACGAAACACGCAGTGACAAACGTGGGTAGCAGTAATAATTGCCCAAGTACATCGGTCCATTTCGTGTGTTGCGCCGAATGGGCAACGCATACGCGATTGAACTGCCCCGTACGATGCGTACGTATCGTACGTTTTACGTCGGTTGTCTCCAACCGTACTATCAGTACGAGCCCGTTTCTAGATGCGAAGAACACCTACGCGGTCGAGAGCCGAGACCACCTTCGAGTGGTCCCGTTATAACGAGCCAGTCTGGTCTACTAGCGAAGCGACCTGTTCACGCAGTTCAGCGATGTCTCGACGAGCTACAGCCACCTTGTCACGAAGAGAACGAGTCGAACGTTCTTTCTCAAGTTGCGCGAACGCATAATCAGCACGATCGTCCGAACGATCGTGCGTTAGAAAATAGTAATTATTCCTTACAAGATCCTCAAGCCCATAGCACCGAGTCCGTACGTGAGCCATGTCATCCTGCAACTGTTCCGTTACACGGTTCAGTTCTTGAACATCAAGCTGATCCGAACGAAGAGCCGGATCAGGTGTTGCCGCCGCCACAACATTCTTTGGTGGACTCAAGCGGTGATCAACGCTTCCTAGTGGAGCTTATTTGAACCACCGCGATGTAAATGGCGTCCGGACAAGCTACCTTGTCCGCTAGCGTGATTATCCACCGGCGTGGGACAGCTGGGAGCCTTGTGCCCAGCTAATTGTTGATGTCTTTGGTCCCTCCGAACAGTACGAAGAGACCCACCAGCTGCGTTTGAAGAAGGGCCGTCGCAAAACGATCTCCCTGAACGCGAGTACAGGGATTGCAAGGTGCCAATATCTTCGGCCATCTCGGAAGAGATGCGCGCCCTCCAGTAGGGATCATTAGGGAGAAGGCCTCCCTAGGGGCACGGTTCGAGTTGTCCAGGCAACCTGGACACGAATCACCCCACGAGAGACAGGTTAATACTGCTTTTCTTGAAAGACGGTGCAACTTATATCGCGCCCCGACTAAGTTGCGTTTCTGAAACCTGATGCAGGCTGCATCAAGTTTGGCGAGCCAGGCCTCACGTCTAATGCACTC